TTAAGAATTTTCATGGTGTGTATAGACATGACTACATCCATATGTATATATATATATATATATACACATATGGATAGACAGAGACAGAGAGAGAGGGACCTTAAGAACATGGAGTGGGTTCCTTCGCAGGTTTTTCAAAGGGCTCTTCAGATGAGTCACTACTGTAAGGGCTCTATGATATAGGGACCATGAGAATCTTAACTGGGTTTGGGAGGGTAGAGTGCGCTGTAGCTACACTAGGGGCTTTCAAACACATTGCTCGAAATGATCCCGACCCTCTAAGCATCTTTGGCCGATCTCTCATGTGAAGAACTGGCATCACATTCCGACAAGACAGGCTGCAGTAAACCAGAAGGCCCCCTGCCAACGGATGGAGGAGCCTGAGTAATTAGAAGAGGCTTTGGGGGGTACATGATGGTATGCAGCCGGGTATGTCAACTCCAAGCCCTATGCCCTAAACCCGCAGTGTAAGTGTAGGGGCCTAATGATTAGAACAGTGTTTGGGCTTTTTGTGGTAGAAGTAGAATAAGGAGCCCTATTGAATAATGTAGGACACCCTCCCAAAGAGCCATGGTCGAGCTGAGGCGCTTTCACGGCTCGGGCCTGGCAAGCGCAGCAAGCTACAAAAGCTGGGCAAAGCATCATCTGAAACCGGACGTGCATAATGCAGGATGGTACATGGTATGATAATCCGACCTGACGTCATGAAGTATGGTTTACCATAGTTAGAAAGAGTAGAGCAAGATTGCAACTGGGTTTGCTCTTAAGCGGACTGTCACAAGGCTCGTTGCCCATCGATGAAGCACGGCCACTAACATGGTTCATCGCTTCTCTACTTTTCACGGCAACATTAAAGAAGGGAGAACATACAGTTCCAAATCATTACCAACAATATCCCCCGATATCCTGTAGACGTATACTACGGCATCCCACAGAAAAACCGAGCTCGAACCATTGCGGCCCTATGTCTAGGGCCCCAAAAAAGCACCTAAGCAAAAATTAGGATAGGGATGTCCCATATAAACCCCCCTTTAAAAGGAAGCCTATAAGGTAGGGATATCCCCACAAAATGCTTATGCTTATGTGCCTTTTTGGGTCCCTAATGTCACGAAGCTAGAAAGGAAAGTGCAGCGCTGAGGCAGATCCCCCGTCCTCCCAGCACAAACCCTGCAAGCTAGTCGGTTTAGGGTTTAGGGTTAAGGGTTTATGGTTTAGGGTAGTGGCTTTTGTGGCGTTTAATAGGATTTAGGGGTTCCGGGTTTAGGGGCCTAAGATTTAGGGCTGTTGCGTGGAAGGTTTATGGATATAGGATGTTGGAGTTAGACTGTATACGAACCCTTAAAGGAACCCCGAAAAGAGCCCTTGAGCTTCTATATAGGATTTCAATGAGTTGCAACCCTTTTGTCTTGAACTGTTGATGATATAAATCCTGCATTACCTTAAGGACCCTAAACTATGGGAATTAGAATTGTATCATCAACCGAAGGAGTACAGGTTCCCTAAAACCAAAATCTTTCAACCCCAAAAGGTTGCGGGGCTAAAACCCTAAACCCTAAACCTAAACCCTCAACCCTAAACCCTCAAGAGCAGGATAAATAGAAATTGTGTGTCTTTCGCTTCGAAACGGATTGCATCTTCTTTATTTTCGAATTTTCCTTAAACGTGTGCGTGGAAAGCCACACCCGCCCAGCCCAGTCCTGCCCAGCCAAGCCCAGCCCAGCCCAATTCAGCAGCCCCCAACCAGCGCCAGGTCCAGCCCCGCCCCAGCCCCAACCCCAGCCGCAGCCCAGCAGCCAGCCACCCAGCCCGCACCAGCCAGCTCGGACCCCAGTCCGCCACCCAAAATGAAAGTTTCAAGTCAAAAAACAAAACCCGCTCAAGACTTTCGGTCAAAACGTTTCGGTCAAAACTGTCCCCCAAATCCCAGAAACCAAAATGCAAAAGCAAAACCCCAAACCCGGCAAAACCCGGCAAAACCCCCCAAAACCCGGCAAAACCCGGCAAAACCACCCAAAACTCCGGACCCAAACCCTATACAATTTCTATTAGAATCTAAAATCACCCAAATCCAGAATCCTAGAACTGCCCTGCAGCCCAACATCCGGAAGCGTAATCTCCCAAGGTCCCTCCCTTCTCTTCCTCTCTGTAAGCATGTATGGCGATAAGTACCTAAACTTGGTTATAAGTAGTTCGAAGTATGGTTACCCTTAGTAACTATGCTTGGTGACTCCGGAGAGAGGCCTCGCCGCTTGAAGACGAGACGGCCTTGCAAACTTTGCCAAAGCTGCCTGCGTCGCGACCGGGGTTTTCGAAGTGCCGAGATTTGATTTCATAAACCGTAACATTCAAAATGGCCTTTGTGACACAGCCCTGAACCCCTACGAAATACAATACTCAATACAGCAATAAACATGGAGTACAGTGCAAAATAATGAGCTCTGGCGCCAGATTCGGCTCCGAGAAGTCACTCTCCGCACACTTTACTGGACCTGAGCCTAGGGTCCAAATCACCACATCTTCAGGACACATAAGATAAAACGGTACCCATAAGTCTGTGTGCATGTATGTATGTATGAATGAATCTATTTATGCATGTATGTCTGTAGTATGTGTATGTGTATACATATACATATACGTATACATATACATGTACATATACATATACATATACATACACATACACATACACATACACATATACATATACATATATACATATACATATATACATATACATATATACATATACATATATACATATACATATATACATATACATATATACATATACATATACATATACATATACGTATACGTATACGTATACGTATACATATACATATACATATACATATACATATACATATACATATACATGTATATATATACTTATATACACCTGCTAGGCAACATCATACTATGTGATATGCATTGCTATGCGATAGCTCAGCAGCAGATGATATGAAACCTTGCAGTGCATTTGCGACATTACGCTGTAGCACATCTTGCATGACACTCAGTGCACTACAGTACCGCCACGGCACACTAAACTGCAGCAACTGCAGTATGCCGCAGTATCTTACGTTCCTTTACATTAGGTGAACCTAACTGATACTGCGATGCGATGCACTGCATTGTACTGCGGTGCGCAATGTTGTGCTGCACGGCCTTGCCTTCGCCTCGCCTTGCAGAACAGATTGCCCAACATGACATGACATGACACGACACTAGCGTCGTGATAGTACTGTTATTCACATATCGCCGCACATAGCAGCAGCATGTATTACTACTGCCAGAGATCTAAGCTATAATCATGCGGCGGAAGAGAATCCAAGGTCTAAGGCCAGATGATCTCGGACACCAAACCCTCGAGCACCGAAGGACTCCCTCGCCGCACCTTTGCCCAGGAGCTCTGGCGTCATTCGGTATGAGAGCCTCGCGGGCATCACAAGTCCCGCATCCGCTTTTCCGAGACTCAAGTGCTCATAGCGGAGGGCGGAGGGCACTTGGCATAACCAGCTGTGTCCATGCATGAAAAGAAAGGCAGCTGCCGTGCTTCTGAGGGGGGGGCGACACTTCAGAAGACTACTTTCCGGCACGGACGCGTGCAGATGCCACGGAAGCCACACGAGCAGAGCCCCCGAACCCACAAAGGAAGCTTCAGAGCAACGCGCGCGCGCGCCTGAAGGACTGACGACCACCTTCTGAATGAGTCCTGGCCTGCGGAAGTTGACGGGTGTGAAGTCATATAGGGGCCTGAATAACTAGACTAGGGGCTTTTGGGCCCCATAATACTATAATTGTAATAAGGACCCCCCATAATAGCATTGGTAATAATCTAGGCCCCGATATTAGCTTCGAAGAACTTTTCCTCGCATATTCACCCTGTGTAGTGTATGCTATCTCCTCTCCATACATTTCTGCTTATCCCACGTGCATTTGCACTGTGTTTTCGGGGGGTGGTCGTGTTCTCGAGGGTTTTTGTTGGGAAGCCGAAACGAACCTCTCCCGGACAGCCAGCCCAGAGATGTGTCCTTCCATCAGCCGGACCCCAAAAAGGAAAAGTGTGTCGGAATCTGACACACACACACACACACACACCTTAGAAGCTGCCCCGACCCTGTAATAGTGACTATAAGGATTATATTAGGGCCCTTTTATATTCCTATTATACCACTATTACAGGGTGGGGGCCTTAACACCCTAAACCCTGAACTCCAAAACAGAACAATCACCCACCGGATGGGGTTCAGAATCTTTAGAATCTGGAGGGGCTCTCGAGATAAGAACTCCCATCTGTCCCCAGGGGGATCAGTGTCGAGTTTGGGAAGTGTGGTGTTTACGGGGCCCAGAAGCCTGAATCCCTGCACCCTGCTTGGTGGCTGCGTGGCTTTTTGCTTGAAGCGCGAAAAAAACCTCTTCGCTGGCAATTCTGCGTTCTTCATCTAGCCCCGGGCATACGGAGCCCCTGCCGATGGTAAGCCGCGGGGTTGCTGGTTGAGGTGGCGTAAGGCTACGGTCATGAAGCTTGGCGACGCCATGCCTTTCGGACTCGAAGCGATCGAGCTTGTAAGCTGGAGAGCAGTCGGACACAAGCCAAAGCACCTACTCGGCTTGTTTGCTACAATCTTCGTCGATGCTGCCATGATCCGCGTAGACAGCCAGCATTAAGCTTCCCTTATGTTGGCAGTTTAGATAAAGCTCAACAGCAAAGCATCACCATCTGCTTCGTCAACCTTATGGCTGGAGCTCCCATAATATCTCGAGAGTTTAGAAGTGAGATGTACGAACTTGAGCTACACTTCACTGCGATGCCCGCGGATGCCCACGGTGTCTATGAGTCATGCGTTGAGAAAAGCCATCTGCCTGCATGTGACATGCTTTACATTTGTTGTCTGACTACACGAAAAGGTAGACGTCGTAGGGTTGCAGGACTATTTTGGACATCAACGCCTCGTTAGGGGCTCCTTCCGTTCCTGCACTTCTACCGGAGCTGCTGCTCAGTTGACGCCGTAGAGGGCGGGTCCGTTGGCCCACGAGGGGGCATTGGCCACGAAGTCATCGATGGGAGGGAGGTTCCTGAGCTTGGCTAGAAGGAACCCATCTAGGAATCATTTTTAGCAGCCCCCGTAGGGAAACCCTCGTAGATCCCTTAAAGGGTATGCTTGAAGGATGGCCCAGGGTCTGCCAAGGAGAGTAGTCGATGGGCTGGTTGCACACCGCTGCCCCACCGCAGAGCTTGCCGACGCCTGCGACATAGTCGCCGGTGACGACGTCCTGCCCGGGGTTCGCTGCTTCTGTTTCATGCTTTGGAGAAACCTCGAGGAAATCTATGTCAAACTATGTCGATATATCTGCGGTTTCGTCGGGCTCAGGGCTTCGCATTGCACCGTTCTACTATGGTTGCAGGCTTGAATTGTTGAATCGCCGGATCCGTTGAGCAAGTAGCGAAACAGATCTTGCTTGAACTAAGGAAGCCGCCTGCGCAACGAGTCCGGTGATGGCCACCATGGCCAGGCGGCTGTTGTTCAGCTCCTGGCGTGCGCGTTCTTGCTGTGGCGGACGTCTTTCCAGGGGCTGGGGTTCAGGGCCTTGTCCAGGCTTAGGGTGTTCCAAGGGGGTTTTGACATGAAGGTCGTGAAAGGAGTGAGAATTCAGGCAGCTTTCGGTCTGAAGGCTTCTGTTGCATGGCAGCGTGCGGTGCAACTGCCCGAAAGAACCGATGCAGCTTGCCCATGCCATAACACCCATCATTTGATCAATTTCAGGATCTGGAAAGCGTTCTTGCCTGGCACTGGACACGCTTCCAGCCGTTCCAGATCTCGGAAGGGTAGTCCTCGTCGATGATGCCCTGACGGACAGCAGTTGTCGTGACAGGCTTCCCACAACATGAATTGATTTCTCGGCGTTGATGCATGTGTGTCCTTTCTTCCTTTCTCCGACGCATCCCCCCCCCAAAAGGTTCAAAGAAACTCCTAAAAGGCTAAAACCCGCTTTTTCTTAACTTGCTCCGACGCATCCCCCTCAAAAGATTCGAAGAACCGCCTAAAACCCTAAGGTAAAAGCCAGAAAGTTGGAATATGATCATCCTAAACCCTTTATGGTACATTATAGGGTGTCCTACCCTGAAACCATATTCCAACTTTCTGGAGTTCCTTTTAAAACCCTAAGGCCCTCATGCGCCGCCCACGGCCTTCCATCCGAGCACGTCCCAAGGGCGGTCCTGGCAAGCGGACTTTGGGGCCTGGGTTTGAAAAAGCGCTGCTTACTAGCCATGGTGTGTGATTTCTTATAAAAAGCGCTACTTCTCCGAGGTGCTGAAGAAGGGGCCCTTCAAAAACCAATACAGGGCCTGAATGAAAGGGCTGTTGGGATTACTTTTTATGGTATTATTATTGTGTAGAAGGACTATACAGAGACATTCTCACCAATGGTTCAGACCCCTACATTACGCATCCCTGCCTTGCCGGAGGGCGTGCAGCCTACTACTGGAAGTTGGTAAGAGGCTCCCAGGAGACCATGCTTGGAGGTTCATGGGTAGTTATAAGTAGGGTTATAAGTCCCCGAATATAGGTTACAGGTGTAGTTACCCTACTTATAACCATACTTATAACTACCCATGAACCTCCAAGTACAGCATGGCACACACGCAAGCAAAGAAGCCCAGCATGCTCCTCCCATAAATACATCTAGGAATGGTAGCTGGCCTGCGTTGCTGCTGCCTGTGGCTTTGCGGCCTCTGGGAAGAGTGTTCTGCGTTGCCTAGCACCTTAACGTCCGGAGTCTGGATTGCGCCGCGAACTTCACCCTGGAACCTCACTCATGAGCGCCTCAGGGGGCTTGCAGATGTAGGTGGTCAGCCACTCCAGGCACATGATGGTGAAGATCACCTGAAGAAGACTCTCGGATTCGTGGCTCCCTGCTCTCGCTTCTAGTTTCTTGTGTTGAATACTTCTGCCTACATCAACAAGGATGTCCTCGAGATCTCGCGTCCTTCTTTGTGGCAAGCTTCTGCAGACAATACTAGACTTTCATATGCTATACTATACTATGCGACTATACTCTACTATACTGTACTATACTGTATCATACTTTGCTAAGCTATAACTTATCATGATACATGGAAGTTTACGATAGCTATGTGCAAGAGCAGGCTTCTCATTCTTGTCGGGTCCCGATATGGGAAATTGGCGAAGCTCACTCCAGGAAACAAAGCATGCTCAGCTGTGTCTATCTATACCTTTATCTGGCTCTATATCTGTACCCATATCTACATCTATTTACACATACATACATACATACATACATACATACATATGTATGTATGTATACATCTCTCTCTCTCTCTCTCTCTCTCTCTCTTTTCGGTTACTTACCTTCTCACTCTGTATCTGTCTATCTATCAATGACAACCCGAGCGCATCCCCGTCCCTACATCCATCTCCTTTTCTCTCAATCTTCAGCCGCACAGTGCGACAAAAACCTGCCGAGCCTGCCACATGCCTCCCATGGGCAGCCTCACGGAGCCAAACCGCTGTGCTTCAGGTTGAAGGCTTCGGGAAGTCTAGGGTTCAGGGTGTGGGTGGGTTATACTAAAAACTTAGATCTGTTGATGTCCGTCCTAGGAATCAATTGATTCCTACGATTTCGCGAAAGCCCAAATTAAACGGATGGTTTAGGTAAGTTTGAGGGTCTACGGTGCTGCATGGATGGGCCAGGCACGTGACCTGCGGCGTCCGACCAGTCAAGGCTCCTCCCGCTATATGGGAGTTTCCGAAAATAGGGGCACCTATTTAGGGGTCCTTATGAACAGGATCCTACAATTTGGGCTACTGTAATTAGGGTCCCCTATTTTCGGAAACCCCCAATTTCAGGCGGGCACTCAGATTTTAGGCTTTGTCTCCAGAAAAGGAAGGGCTGCCTTTAGCCTCAGGGATTCCGAACTCAAAGCCCGTCGGCAACAGCGGCTTACATCGTTCCGATTCTTGCGTTTCAGATCGCTGGTGGTCGCATGCCGCTTCGCATCGGGCGCTTGGGGGTATGTTTAAAATCTGCCTAAAATCGGAACCCCTAAGGAAAACAGATAGGTAATTGTTCCAAGCACGATAGTATCGCGTTTGCCGCCACAGAGCTGGGTCAGGCTGACGAGCGGGTCGTCGCTCATCTTCTCGCCGATGGCGTAGTCACCTGAGACTCAGACGTCGATGCGATGCCCTGAACTCGAAACTGCTCCTCTTGGGAAGAAGCCTCACTCTGGTTACTATGAGGATTGCTATAGTTTACGGGTGGTACCATGGTCTCCATAAGAGTTACTATGGTCGTTACTATAGGGGGAGGGGGGGGTAATTACTTGAAGTGAAGATGCATAAGCCTCCAGCTGCTCCTATCGTTCCCCGTGGAACCCCATCCTAACTCAGCGGAAAGCCGCTCGAAGATCCACAATGCTTCCATGAACACCTACCCGGGGAGACATGACCAGAAGAGGAGAGGATGTAAAGATGCCTGAAGATGCCTGATAACTAGCCGGGAGTTTTGGAGGCACACTGTACTGAGTATGACTTTATGACTCTTTATGACTCCGAATAACAGCCGGGCTGCCCAGGAGGTGGTAGCCTGCGGCCACGTGGAACCAATGGAGCACCTTCGTTGGAACTAGGCTTGGCACCTCTCCGGTGAGGAAGCGAAGCCTCAATTTCAAGATCTCAACTATGGAGGCTTTCAGGGACGGATGTTGTCTTGGGCAGCCATGCCGGCGACTGGGAAACTCAACGAAGCGAAGAACCGCTTTCGAAAGCTTCGAAAATTCCTAGATTCCTTAAACCCTAAATCCCCTAAGCCCTTAAACTCCTAACCCCTAAATCCTTAAACTCCTAAAAGCCCTAAAGCTTTCGAGGCACTGCGAGCATGGCCACGCGGCCGTGCTTCAGCTCCATGGCCCTGAGCATCGCGATCTCCTGCGAGCAGAATCGTAAGCATAATAATAGTAACTACGATGAGGAAGATAATAAATAGTAAGACTTACCAACAGAGCCCCGCACCCCTTAATTACGGAAAATGTGGCATAAACTATATGGGGCTTCAAAATATGATTTCTGTCATGTTCCTTAATTAAGCGGTATTGGGCTCTCTGGGTATAAAGAGCCAAGAGGGCCGAGCTCCCATGGCCTCGGGCGCATGGCCCCAAAAGCTGTGCCTGTGTTTCCGCCTTAGGGTAAAAGGCAGAAAGTTGGAATATCATTATCGTATCCCCTCTAAGGTAAATTATAGGGTATCCTACCATTAATCCACATTCCAACTTTTTGGAGTTCCCTATAGGGGGGGAAGCTGGGGCCGGGTAGGAAAGTGGGGAATCCGCAGAATCCAAGAATGTCGCGGCAGCTTCCATTCAGGCGGGGGGGGGCTTGTGTCTTTTTGCTACGGCTTTTGCGGCAGCAACCACTGCGCGTAAATTTTCCCTCCGTCCTTCTCGGTCTTGCCGTTGGTGATGCCTGCCGGATCCCAGAAGTTGTCGGGGAGAGGGCCGCCGGTCCCGGCAATAATCTCCTGGCAAAGCACATGAGCCTCGTCTCCGGCACCGTGACAAACCCTTTAGAGTAGACCCCTCTTGAAGGGAACGTCAAGGAATGCCGACCCCCATACTAGGCACCTGTTTGCAACCTTTCCTGTCTCCCTCATAGTAACTATAGTAACCCTTGCAGACCCTTACAGTATGAAGTCATGACACAAGGTCCCCACACTCCTCGTAGCCCTACAGCAAAGCACCGCTCTCCTGCGCCGGCGTCAGTGCGCGCAGCGGGGAGTCCGTGTAAAGGGACCAGTCGCCCCAGGCCTGTCCTGCGCTCGGATCTTGGGTTTAGGGTTTAGGGTTTAGGGGACTCAAGCAATAACAGTTTTAGTAGGAGCTTTAGAAATGATGACAGTATAGGGTTTGCGGTTTAAGCTCTAAAAGTTGTGTGTGTTTTTTGGAGGGGGGTCCTATAGGGGCTGCTCAGGGTTTAGGGCATTGAAGGGCTGTAGGGGCTGGTGGTTTAGGCTGTAGGGACCAAACCACTCGGACCCGTAGTCTCCGGCTCGGAGGCTGCGTCTATCCCTGAGCCTGAAAAAGCAAGGCAAAAAAGCCATGAGCTTGGAGTTGTGGGTTATCTTGGGGTCTTATAGGGTTTGGGATTACCGTGCTTCGAGCTTGGGGTTTGGGAAAACTTTGAGCCTTGGGGTTTTTCTTACCTTTGGTTAGCAGGGAATGGAGGAATCGGGTACAATTATAACTACTACTACTACTACTACTACTACTACTACTACTACTACTACTACTACTACTACTACTACTACTACTACTACTACTACTACGACAACTACTACTACGACAACAACAACTACTACTACTACTACTACTACTACTACTACTACTACTATTACTACTACTACTACTACTACTACTACTACTACTACTACTACTACTACTACGACAACTACTACTACGACAACTACTACTACGACAACTACTACTACGACAACTACTACTACTACTACTACTACTACTACTACTACTACTACTACTACTACTACTATTACTACTACTACTACCACCACCACCACCACCATTCTTCCATTTAACCAAAGGCAAGTTTTTAGGGGCTTCGTTTGACCCGACTCCTGTCAGTCCGTTCTGGAAGAACATGCCAATGATGGCCTTGGCATCGCAGGCTCCGAGGTCAATAGGGCCTACAATAGGGGGGCCTTAAATACGAATGATAACAATAGTAATAAGACGAAGAATGATAGTAGGAATAAGAACAAGAATAAGAATAAGAACAATACGAATAATAGTAGCCATAAAACGAGTAATGATGATGAGAAGAAGAAGACCTTTGTGCTACAACTACATTAAGACCCTGAGGAATCACGTAAGTATGCCAAGATGAGGGCCCGGCTAGCAGGTGCATTCTGTTGGAGCAACCCGAATAAGGTGGTGAATGCACAGTGGCTTGCAGCGTGTTTCGCAAGACGACGACATCCAATCCCCAGCTGGAACTCGACAAGATACATAGGGCGTTCTGAGACGTAGGTCCGTAACTTGAGGTCCTGATACATGGGATTCAACTACGGGCTTCGAGTTTCAAGTCTTCACTGCTGTCGTTGACTGATGCTTAAGATGCCCCCTCTCTCTTCCATCCTTGCATAATTTTTGGAGTCGAAGGACTCCTCGGGTTTTGGCTTCCTGCAATTCCACAAAGAGAGCCTGCTAGTTCGGTACTGAACTCTACGGAAAAATCCTGAAACCAAGGGGCCATCATTGCCAGACGTCCGTTTGCGATCTCTGCAGCCAGCTTCTTCTCCTTCCTCAGCGATACCCACAAGCTCTGCACATGCGTCATCATGGCATGAAACAGCATGATCAAGAGACCTTGTGTTTTGAGCGCAGTGCACTCGACAGTTCACGAGGAAACAACTCTCGTCCGTAAGCTTTAGCAGTTTAGACTTTTGACTTTAGGGCTGGAACGCTTTAGGGTTTTTGAGGAAGTGGGGAGTCAAGCGACCGGATTGCAGTACGGCCGAGATCGCAGCCAGCTCTTTGACTCAATGCCACTTCCCGCAGTCCTAAGCCTAAACTCCAAGCTCCCTAAATCCCAAATGCGACAAATGCCCAAAGTCCATAAAAGCACAAGATCCCCCAAATCCACCAAATCCACCAAAATCCCCCCAAAATCCCCCCTAGAACCCCTAATGAAGCCCAGGAGCTGGCCCTCCGGAGCCTTCATGAAGCCGTTGGGGATGCCCAGGAGGCCTCGAAACTTCGGCAAAAAAGGAGAGCTCTTCAGGGCTTGCTGACGAGTATTATTTAATTTAACTCATTTACTCAGTTTAATTTACTTAATTCAAATAATAGATAAAATCCAAGAATAAATGGTCAATTGGATCATGTGACTTTTGATTGCTGTTGAGAATGTAAATAATTCAGGGCTTTCGGGGGTTTAGGGCTTTTTGGGTGGATTCAGGGCTTTACCTGGACCCCAAAAGTATGTAGAATAATAGCCTTTTATAGGGGTTCTTGGGCCATTAATTTAGCTACTTTGTGGGGTCTCTAGGTAGACTTTAGGGGATTAGGGGTTTCAGGGCTTGAGAAGGGTATAGGGTTTAGAGTTTAGGAGTTTAGGGCTCCGAGCCTGCGTTCTCGAAGTCACCCGGAGCACGCTTGGGATCGTCCACATACCTGAGCTCGATTCAGGATTTTGGAGGCTGAAACAGGCATCTGAGATAGTTGAGCTTGGGATTCGGTGTGCAGAAACCTACTGTGAGCAGCAACATCCGCAACATAAAGTGCTGCAAGCCTTGGTGGCTTCCTATGGGGGGGGCTTAGGACAAACCCGGGCAGGAATAACGGTCGCTTGAAATGTCTGCTAACCTGGACTTTTGCTTAAACAAAGGGATGTACTAAGCATGTGCATGTGTGTATGTATGTAAGTGTGTACATATATATATATATATATATATATATATATATATATATACAAGTACACTGTAGATCATTCATTTACCTGTACATATATATATATATATATACATATATATACATATATATATATATATATATATAGATATATTCATTTATTTAGTTAGTTCATTGCATGATGCTGCATGGCGTTTTGTGAACGCCTCGGCTGGAAACAGGTATGGCTGCCAAACTTCCCTTGCACAGGTCACGTGTCCGAGTCAACACCTCCGCCGGTCAGATCGACGAATGCAACTACCACATCATACATTCTAGTGGCTTCTATACTGATCATATCACCCTACCTTGTGTCATATTCTATGATTCTATCTTATTGTGCCACACATCCTTCAGAGTGGCTGGAAAAGCTCCACGCTGCCTGCGAAGGCCACCATCTGCGCCCAGCCGCTCAGGGGCACCTGTGGGCTTCGGAGTTCGGAAACCGTCTCTGCGTTGGCTTCGGGGGCGCAGAGAGCATGGACGACAACGAACCATATTATTCTACTCACCCCGCCGATGTAAGTAGAGTAAAATCTCCCCAAAAGCCCATGCTGCTTACTATACTTAAAGGATCATGGGACTTAGTAACGGGGGTTATGAGGTAACTATACTTATAACTTATATATCACCTCTTATAAGCCCACTTAAGGTATTTATATACGGCCCTAAACCCTAAACCCTACACCCTAAAACCCTAAACCTTAAACCCTAAACCCCTAAACCCTAACCCCTAAACCCTAAACCCTACTGCCGCTTGTTTCAGCCACGCCTTGGAGAAGGCGGCGAAGCCGGTTGGGACGTCCTCGGCAAGCTTTTGCGTGCGGCAACCATCCCGAGGGGCGTTTTAGGACTGGGTAAGCTTGAGGGTTCAGAACTCTTTAAGGGATTTATACTATAATGCTTTAGGGCTTTAGGGTTCAGAAATCTTTTTAGGGGATTTACTTTTCTATATAGGCTTTTCCGTTCTTACAAGGCTTACTATGCCGATTCCTTGTGGGCTTTAATCGGAAGCAGATCGGCACAACGAAGGCAGCCAGTGCTGCTGGGCGGAACGTGCCACGATGCATGCTAGTGGAATCTTGGTCTTGACATCTTGGGAGAGATGAGCGATACTGATCAGCGCGACTGTATCCGCGCAATCGCTTCTGCGGCCCGGGTCTCCGTGAACTTGATGCCAAGAGAAGGAGAGAGGTCACCCGGCCAGCGGTAGTACCTTGGCGAGGCATTGCGGGGTTGAGGTTCCTGCGGCGCCCTTCGACTCCCCAGAAGGGTGTAGATTGTAGAGAGGATCGGGCTTCTTTCCCAGACCCCCGGGAGGATCTAGAAAGTAGATCCCCTAATTTGGGGCCCTATACTACTAAGGGTACTTTATAGGAATCCCAATTGCTAATTTTGGGATCTACTTTTTGGATTTTTTCGGGGGTCTGGGTCTGGGTCAACTGGTGAAGGGTTTCATGTTCTTGAGTTCGGGGTTGCGCAGCACAAAAGGCAGCCGGCCCTCTGCGCTTCGAGGTTTGTATAGTGTACACTATATAATATACATATATATATATATATTTGTATTCATTGTTTTATATTGTATTATACTGTTTTATACTGTTTGATAGTGTATTATTTTGTATTGTATTTTTTGTAATATGGAGATGCTTGAGAACTAAAGTGCCGGAATGAGCTTGGCTTTGGATTCGGGCTTCGTCGACAGCGTCCATGGAAAATCCGTCCATGAGTCTACCCTTCGAAAGGAAACATGCCTGAATTTGTAATTAACAGCGCGATAGTACTGTTCCTTTTGATATCACCCTCAACTTGGCGGGCAACTCGTACATCCAAGATTCCTCGCGTGTCTACCCGCCTCTGTAATTGCCGCGATGCCCAGTGGACCAGAACCCCAAGCCCAAACGGCCTAAACCCTAAACTCTAAGCCTGAAGCGAAAATCCTCTCCCCGAACGCTTTAAGCTCTCGATCGGCAAAAAAGCGAATGCCAAGGGATCTTCCGTTCGAGGCGCTCAGGGACGATGTATCCCATGCAGGCCAACATCGCCACGCGTCCGTGCTTCAGCTCCACATATCCTTAAGGTCAAGGGGTTTACAATGTCCACGTGTTCTGGGCCGCAGGGTGTAGGGGGTGAGGGTTTTGCAGGCTTGAAAAAATTTAGGGAGTGCTCGGATCTAGGACCCACAGGGTTACATGGTAAAGCCTAAACCCTAAAGCAACTCTCTCGCGCACACAGACACACACATGCACGTCGGCTCTGTAAAAATTCGGAAAACCGCCCAACACCTTCGAGAGTGAAGTCTTGAGGACGTGGGAACCTCTCCAGGAAGAAGTCGAGGGTCTAGGCTTTTGGTTCCGGGTTTAAAGCTTTTGTGTTGCGAATTTCGAAGGTTTAGGATTCAGGGAAGCCTGGGCATGAAGGTGTGGGGTTGTCTTCTAGACTTGGAGGGTTTAGGATTCAGGGAAGTCTAGGCATAAATCTGCAGCCTTCAAATCCTTAAACCTTTACTGTAAACCCCTAAACCCTGAAGCCGCGCCCCAAGCCCATGCAAACTCCTTAAGAGCATGCAAAAAAAACCTGGAAAATGAGAAGGTCCCAAGCGGCGTCGGCGACGGAAGGAGGCGGCATCGCCGCCCTTGGTGAAGCCCAGAGGGTCCTGGCTTTTCCATTGAGGAGGTTCGGCTTAAAATGAGGGGCCTTAATTAAAAAAACTATAGCAGGGAACCTTAAGGAACAGTATTGCGATTGGCTCAGACTCCTGGATTGTTCTGGAGGGATAAGTTCTTAATGCAAGCCCCGGATCAGAATGAAGCCGCTGATCCCCTAAGTAGACCATGTGAACAAACAGATGAAAGGTGGGAGTTGCAGTGTTGAGCCTGACCTTCCCATGGAGTCCAGTGTCCAAGCATGTAAGCCCTAAGCACATCCCGGTCTCCTGCCGGCACGGGGAAGTTTAATAGTCTTGCGGCAGCTCGTTTCGAGAGTTCGGGCTTACGAGATCCGTGTCTACAGTATGAGGGCAGTACCCAACCATGACCCTTGTCCAAAATCTCTAAGTACCCATCTGACCTTACAAAGTGCTATGCAGTATCATAACACTGCCTTTCATGCGATGTCCCTTCATGTAAAGAAAGTGCGCGGAAACAATTAGTTCATCGAGTTCTGCAGAGGTGCCCAGAAGCCGGCCGGGGGCTGCACACCGAGCTCCTCAGCGATATTTTCGCAGAGGGGTTTCGGGATTAGGGATTAAGGGTTTAGGGGTTCAGGGGTTTACCCATAGGCCCCAAAGTAGTTCCTTTTTGGGGTTACCTTATAGGATTCTATATATCCAAAGAGGCACTACTGGGCCTTAGGGTGGGTATTGAGGGTTTTTTAATCGGGGTTTAGGATGTGTCTGAAAAGCCCCAGGCACGCGAAGCTAGGCTCGAGGTCTACAGTAGAAGCCAGAAAGTTGGACCCTTTAGGTAAAGTATAAGGGATCCTCGCACTAATCCTCCTATATAAATGTTCCAACTTTCTGGCTTCTACTATGCGGCTGGTGAGCTTTTCTTTCGAAGACGGGGCTTGGGGTTAAAGGCTCGAGGGCTTATGATGAGAGGCCAAAAATAGGGTGGTTTAAGATTCTTGGGGTAGGGATTCCTTAACATGAAGCCTATTATGGGAACCCTAATCCCTACTAAACCCCCATAGGCTAAAACCCCTTTTGGCCTCCTATGAGCCTAGGGCTCGGGGTCTCACAACTTTGCGGCTTGGGGGGTTTAGGGTCTCGGATCTGTGGTTTGGGCGTGGAAGCTGGAATCTACGGCTTCGGTGTCATGCTCCCGCGATGGATCTCGGGCATGTCCCGAACTCGTTCGCATAGCTTGCGGCCCTAATATTTCGCATCGGGTCTTGGGTAGATTATACTACAGTTACGATCAGGAAACCCGAGGAATAATAGATTTGTATTATTCACGCCTTTGTGTTAAATTGCGGCCATGCATCCGTCTCGAAGGCGCGGAGAGGAGATTCGGTGTAGTTTGCCCAGTCACCTGGGTGTTTGAAACTGGTGTTTTTGTTATGGTTGTTGTTGGTATTTCGACTATTGTTGTTACTTCTATCATGGTTCTCACTTTTTATTACTATCTTTGTGACTGTTGCTACTTCTATCAGTAGTACTGATGTTACTGTTATTGCTATTGTTATTACTGCTACTAGTTTGTTAGTTGCTGAGCTCATAAGCCCCCCAAAGTGTACACTTTCAGTTTTATAGTGGGTGACACTATCCCTAAAGGTGTAAAGTGTATCCACTCAGCTACTAAGATTTTTCTTATTCCAAGAGTTTTCGATGGAAAGGTCAACCTGAAGATCGTGGTCCGTGGCCTGCCTGCAAGGGGTTTGGAGTATGCGATCAATAGATGCATGGGGAGTTTATGGGCAGTGTCCCATGATACAGCAATCAGGTTGGGACTATAAGAAGATATGACTGCTTGGGCCTTAAACCCTATAGATCCCATTAAGGAACCCTATACATCCCGTAAAGGAACCCTTACTACTACGTCCAAAAGTATCTTGGGGCCCATTACACTATAATCACGATAATAAGGAACCCCAAAAAAGTATAGGTAAGGTCTTTTAAGGTTCTTAACTATAATCATAATAACGAGCCCCAAAAAATAGTATAGGTAAGTTTATAAGGCCCCTGTAGTATCTGAATCGAAAAATGGCATAGGTAAGGTTTTTAAGGCCCCTATAGTATCTGAATCGAAAAATGGCAGCAAAGTGCAGCTTTGTTCAACTGAGTGGCCCCAGGCAGAGCCGGTGAGACCATCCTGCGTCCAATGGGGAGCCACAGATGCAAAGGGCTAGGTTAGGGGTTTGGGGTTTTCAGGGTTATGCTAGGGGTTTAGGGTTTAGGAGGCTTTTAGGTTTTAAGTTTAGGGTTTAGGGCTAGGGTTTGGGGTGTAGGGCTATGAGGGTGTTGGGATGTTAGGGCTTTTCGGGTTGACGGCCTTGGGTTTTAGCTTTTGGGGTTTAGGGTTGAGTGTGAAATGGTTTTGGCCCTGGCTAGGTGGGAAATACGAATTGCGGCCTGGTTCACGAATACCATGCATGGGCACGCACAAGAGTTCTACCTGGGGCTTTAGGTTTAGGGGTTTGAGTTTCTGCTGGGGCTTAGCTGCAATATGAATTTTGTTTGGGGATCCATGCCTAGGAAAAACGTTCCACGATATCTTCCAGAATGATGATTCGATTGATGGGCATGTCTCCGATTATGAGTGCATGGTTCGTGGACCCAATAGTTTTGTACCCTGTGCCTTCTCCCATACGCACATGCGTTTGCCAGTCTTAAACCGAAAACCCAGCACCGAATCTGTCACGGCAACTACAGCAAGTATCAAGTTGCCAAATGGAATGGTAGAACCTGATAGAACCGTTTTGCAGCTTGCAGTTGTGGAAAGACGTTGTGCTTCGAAGGCATTTCGATTCAACCATGGAAATCTTGTACCGAATTCCTTCCCAGTCCCAAGCAGCGCGAATGAGCAAGAGCTTCAACAACCCAACACGACATGCACAGACGACTATGCCTATGCATGGCCTTGGCAGATGCATCTATTCCGAATCTGTGAGCAGAGCGGGCCTGGAAAAACATTCCGATGATCGCCATCATGGCCAGGCGGCCGTTAGCGAGCTCAGCATTGAGTTTCTTCTTCTTGAGCCTTAGCCACAATGGGACTCCTCGTTCCTCCACAACCTCAAGAATTGGTACCTCCATCTACGGCCTAAGCAGAGAGTCGTTATTCAAAGGTACTCGCCCAGTTGCTTTTGAACCTGTGCTCTGACAGCCGCGTGAATTCGGTCAGAGCGCTTCAAGACGATGACTACTCCCGACAATGCTACATTGTGAAATTTGCGAAGCTTTCTTTGCAGCCCCGACTTGTTCTGGTGTTACGTTGTAGTATAGGTTCGGGCTCGGGTCGTTCCTCTTCCGTCGGAGACGGCGTGTATTGAATTTCAACAGCACGCAGCTGACCAGAATCACGAACGTAAAACATGTGAAGACTACACGGTCTGTGGTTCCCTACGCTGCTTCTTTTTGCGTCTAGAGTCTAGACGACCCTACAATCGGAAGAGTCTGAAGTTGAAAAGCTTCAGATGACCTGAGCCGTGCACTGGGAAGGGGGGTTGATGACTTTGGCTTCTCTGCTTGAGCTGTATTTTCTTTCGCCGACCATTGCCCAGACATCTTAGATCCAAGGGAGTTTTCGGCTCGGCCGCTGCACGCACTAAACGGCGCGGTGGCTTCTGGTGCGGCGTCGTATAGGTTCTCGAGATGGCGCAGATTCGGATGTGGCGCTTGGACTGGTTGCGAAAGCCACTCTTCGATAGCATCCCGACGTCTGTTTCACACACACACACAGTCAGCACAGGAAGGAACTTCACTCTACGATTAGAGCCTGCAAGCAGGGTGGTCACGCAGCACCTAGCACACGGCCTGGCGGCTAACAACAAGAACATCCTGCGCATCTGCACTCAAACCACACTCCCTGCTAAACCGCGCGATCCAATCTCCGAGGAACTCCGGATCCTCGACGGGCTTGCCACCCAGGTAGGCTGGGATTCCTGAGAAAGACCGAGGGCTTTTTGCTGGATGCGGAAGGGTCGCCGGTCTGCTCTGAAGTAGCTTTGAGGTCCTGCTCCCTAATGCGGAAACCCCAGCTCTGAATCCTAGACCCTGTTCGCCGAGGGACCAAGGAAGCCGTAGTCGTAGTTCAATGCGTCATCACCGAAAAGTCGGGTCTGGAGCTTGCCTGGCGCAACTGGGCCCGTGTAGGGTTTCGGCTGTGCTGCAGCGGTGGTAGGACCTCAGCTTGTTTTGGCTGGGTCGCATCACCAAAACTCAGCTTGTGATGATGGTGATGATGATGATGATGATCCTCATCATCATCATGATGGTGATGATGGTGGCAATTTCGAGACCTAGCATAAGATACATGATCCTCATGAGCAAGCATATGCTCAGGAGGCTTCCATTTCTCGTGCCGCACTTTTCACCAAAAATGATCATAATCATGATCATGACCATAAGAGTAAGATAAGAAGAATAATGACAACAGTAGTGAGTCATAAGAAAGACAGCAGTAGTAACAATATTCGTCATAACCATAATAAGAACAACAATCATAACGAAACCTCGGAAGCGCCTGGAGGGTTGGTGGGCCTCTGGTCGGCAATCCACAGGTCGCAAAGGCCGCAGAACACGGTGTACCTGAGTGAAAGGCTTCGAGCTTAGGGTTTGGAGGTTTGGGTTTGGAGTTTTGGGTTCACTTAGCGTTTCAGGCCGCGGGCTTAGGTTGAAGGGCCCATTTAAGGTTGAAAGTTTAAGGTTTAGTAACTACCTGTTTGCAGTGCTTAGGTATTTTACTTGCGCCTTCATGAAGCGCAGCTTCTGCATGGCTGGGCTTGAAGCTCTTGTCTGAATAAACCCACGCAGAAACAAGACCCCTAAGATCCTTGAAAGAGCCCTTACACCCTGCACACTCATCCTGCAGTCGGGGCGCTGGAACCAACCAACTGCCGGCACGACAGTGACCGCCTTCAGCCCGTTCCTCAGATCTCGCGGAGGCCAGGGGTCAAAGATGACGTGGGTTTTTCTTCTTTCCACTTTCTCTCACAGATGGGCGTAGGTACTCGGAAAGGCAGGCAGATGTAGACAAACATGCAGAGAGAGAGAGAGGAAAAAAAGAGAAACGGGAGAGGTCGAGAGGTTTCTTCCACGCACACACACACACACACACACGTGCATCAAATCTCCTGATCTGGAATGTCGTCGGTGATGTAGCTCTTCTAACTGCTTGATGTTTACATCTGGTGTCTGTTCTTTGTATGATATCAGGGACTCAAGGCGCGGTTTGGGGAGTTCACTGACATCCACATCTGAACTTCTCATCTGAACTGAAACAATCATGCACTTGAGGTTCTAGCTTTGCCTCTTGCCACTTCAGCAGGTACTACCGTTTCAACAACTTCCTACGATGACTTGCCCGAAGACATGCACACCCTAGCCCACGTAGACCACCTAATTCACGCGCTCAGCTCCGGCAAGCTCCTCCTAAGATCCCAGAACGCCCGAGGGCACGGGCTTTGCATCTCACCTTAGCGAGATGTGCCAAAACATCCTGATTGTCGGGCGGGACGCACGGCGTCGCCGCAGCCGCCAGACAAGACGCCGCCCAGCGGCCCAATGACAACGAGAACGCCACCAAGCATGCCGGAAGAAGTGGACCCAACAGCAACCAGAGCAAAGCCACAGAAAGCAGGCGGAAGGCGCAGCAGCGGCCACACACACCGAGCACGGCAGAAAGGCTTAAGCCATCGACGCAGACCAGTGAGCTGCAAAAGCCGTGGAAACGACTACGGCCGACCCGCCCTGCTAGCTCACCAAGGTGTCAACATGCGGCAAGCCGCCATCTGCCCGCCATGCTGAAGTCCTACAAGCGCTAAGCTGTCCGCACAATGCGGGAGCACTGAATCCGGAGACTTCTTGAATGGGCTCATAGGCCTCTGCATCCATTTCTTCTGCGTCCCGTCAGAACCTGCACCTCACAAGGCTCGACCAAGACCGACAGGCCGACAACCCCAGCCATAAGGACTATGAGAACCATAACCTTCCCAAGCCGAAGCCCAAGCCAGCCCACGCACGCGTCGTACTGCACGAAGGGATTTTGACATCCTCTTGTCTTCTTTCTTCTGTGTTTCCACTCTCCTGCTAGGCCTAAGCACATCGGTCTAGTCAACGGGGCATTCATAGATGTCAGCACGGGCCACAATGGCTGGCTCCGTGCCAGGGCCTGAGTTCGGGCTGTTATCCGCAGTGCCTGCATCAGAGATAAATACGAGGATCCGATGTCATAAGAACCGCATTTGCCCGCCGAGTTCTCCGATTGTCCTTTTCAATTGGACTTGAACCTCCTCATGGAGGTCACTGCATGGCACCATTCTCAGCAAGACCTGTCGTGCGTTATCTAGCATCAAGGAGTGCGCATGTTCCTGACCAGGAAGGTCACACGTCGGCAACGAGGCCAGAACTGTGTCGCAACTTAAATTTTATTTCCCTTACTCTCTGGCCCAAAGACTAGTGGCCATGTTTGCTTGGGTGGCTTTGGCCACCAGCTCGATCCTCGCGCTGTACGGAGTCTCGCCCTAGGCCTTCACTACTGAATAGGCTGAACCTTGCCTAGAACCCATAGGAAGCAAGAGAAATATTTAAATCATTGTCTATAGCCCTATACAGTACCCCTGAATAAAACATTGCCCCGCAAGCCATAGAAAGTAAGATAATCATGTTAAGTATTGCCAGCTGCCCATTCCCTATTATCTAAAACGCCCAGAAGCCATAGGCTTAGGAAGTGAGAGACTCATGTTAAGTATTGCTATACAGCCCGTTCCTTACCAGGCAACGGTTTTTTTCGCAGAAATCGTGCAAAAAAAAGGAATACGCTAATTCTAGCCCTTGAAAGTCGCATGGCGCCTCACGCGCGTGTGACCTACAGTAGCTACAGTAGTCAGTTATTTGCTGATGTACAAAAACTCGCCGACACACACACACACACACACACAAACGCAGCCGCGCGCAGGTGCGCGTGCAGTGTGCTATCTGTTTCATAGTGTACGATGTCTGTTTGCAGCCCAGGCACGGGATGTCGGCGAACTTGATGTCTGAGCTCGGGGACAAAAAGCCCGGGAAGCGGACGAACTCCTGCACCTGGGGGTGCTTTGGGGGGGTTTGGCACTTAAGGGGTTTTCAAGAGCTTCAGAGCTTTAAGCCGGGGTTGACGAGTTGACAGGCGTAAGGGTTCCAATCCCGCGTGCATACGCGCTTCGATCGCCGGTAATCGAATCTGGAATGGCCAGTAGGTGAATCGGGACTGTGCTCGAATCGCTGGACGCGCAAGACTTTAATCACAGTCGATGCAACCTGCCAGGTTCCTGTAGACCCCTGATGCAGAAAGTACCTGTTCTCAATGGCCGCAACAATGGAATCCGGCTTTGTAGCGGGAGCAAAGGTTCAGGGTCTATGGGGTTTAGGGTTTAGGGTGTCTGGTGTTTGACGAAAGCTTGAGGCTCTCGCGACTGCGGGTGTTCATGGCTTCGAGTTTTCGGATGCTTGCTGGGAGGTCCCTGTGTTGCACCGGAAACTGGGCCACAACACCTTTCCGAAACTAGGCTTCTACAGGGATTCCTTCTTTCTATAAGCACAACTAAGTATACTAGAGCATACCCTCAAGCCGTTTCCGACTATTGAGGCCACTGTGCGATCATCCTGAACCCACTCTCCGAAGCTTCGCTTCCAAACCAAGGCGCAATGTAGCCGGTGCACGCGAGCATTGAAACGCGTCCGTGCTTGATCTCCACCTTGGCGCCCAGTTGAAAGCTACACGACGGGTCGACCGGCAACAAGAGGGTACAGGGAACTCCGGAAAGTTGGAATATGGTTTCAGGGTAGGATCCCCTATAATTTAGCTTAAAAGGGGGTAACGATAATGATATTCCAACTTTCTGGCTTTTACCGTATGCCACATGCAATGTGCAGGGGCCTCAATGATGAGAATGGGGATCGGGCGGTCCTTATCCTATCTTATTCCAAGGAACCCAAAGGAATATGTCGTAAAGTGGCATTGCTACTTGTTCAGGCGTTTGTTAAGTCAAGGTGTCTGCTATGGAAGCATCATATAAACAAAGATAATGTAAGATGACAAGATCCTATAAGATGATATCAGGTAACAAGGAGGATGATATGAGATCATAAACAAGGATGATGAAAGGTTGTAGACTAGACTACACTATAATATAACATAAAAAATATAGTATAATAGAATACAGTGCAACATTGCACATTATACTACCAAATAAACTTTAATGACATGTTATATGTCATAATAAAATGCAATACACTACAGTACAGAACAATACAATACAATGTTATATACCTATATATAATTATACTATAATGTAATATGACATGTTATGATAAACGACAGTACCATACAATACCGTACAACATAATATCATATAGTATAACACTAGCATGCAAGGTAACTCAGGCCTCTGTTTAACCTACGGACAATCAGTTTCGAACTGGAGCCCGGATACCTCTGAAATCAACCCGCCAACCCCGTAGACCTTGATTGAAGCAACACAAGTCAAAACCCTAAACGTAAAAGTTTAAAAAAAAAGGAGCCTTAGCAATTAGAATAGGGTTCCTTTAAAGGGGTCTACAAGGGTTACTTACAAGGGATCCCCAAACCCTTCAGAGAAACATCAGCGAAGGCGCAACGCGGCGGCGGTAGAACTCCTTGGCGTCGCCATCCGAGGTGAAGCCCGCAGGATCCTCAGGAAACCCACAGCAGTCGAATCCTTTAGGGCCTAAAGGGTTTAGGGGTTTAGGGTTCCTTTAAAGGGATCTAGGTTCCTATAAGGGATCCATAGGGTTTAGGGCTTAAAGGGTTTAGGGTTGAGGGGTTTGAGCCTTTTTTGGGCGGGTTGGGTTTTTTCGGGGGTGGGTTCAGGGGTTGAGGGGTTTGGGCCTTTTTTTGGTTGGGGGTTGGGCTTTTCGGGGTGGGTTCAAGGGTTAAGGAGGGGTTTGATCGTTGGGGTTTATTGGGCTTCGGGAGCCTCGGCTCAAACGCCAAGTGGCTTCCTTACCGGTTCTTGCAGGAGGGATCTTTGATGGGCTCTACGAGGATTCTGCAAGGGCTTACAGGACTCAACTTTCATAAAGAGTGGTTTGTAGGGAAAGGTAAAAAGGCTCCCACCCAACAAGGACCTGATAAGTTTAAGGTATACTCAGTATACTCCTTCCGTTAAGGCGTAAACTAAGCCGCTTCGGAAGCTACTCCGAACCCTTGCATGGTCAAGGCACCCTTAGCAAGGCCCCCCTGTAAACGGGGGGCTTCCCTCGGATCTACAGGGGCCCGAGAAGGAACCTTTGAGAGGGCACCACCATTAAAGGCCGTTGAAGGGACCCTCCCTTCTTTTAAGACGGGATCCTTTTAAGGTGACTTCAGAGGGACCCTTAAAGAAGCCCTTGAAGAGGGGCCCATAGAAGGGCCCTTAGAGCCCTCAACCCCCTGAATCCTAAACCCTCAACCATGAATCCTAGACCCTAAACCCATAAAGGCCCCCGAAAAAAAAGACCCTTTTTAAATCGAACCCCTGAAGCCAAGCCAGGCCATGGCTCCCAGAAGCCCACGGGCGCCTGCACGCCGAGCTCATTCCTTGGCTTTCTTTCTGGTTTAGGGTTTATAGGGTGTAGGGTTTAGGGTTTAGGGTTTAAGGTTTGGGGTTTAGGGTGTAGGGTGTAGGGTTTAGGATTTAGGGTTTAGGGCTTCCCAGAGATCCCTATACCCCTTAATTAAGGAATGTACCTTAAATCATAATGCTAAGGCCTTTACCATTTAAGGTAGATTCCCTAATTAAGGGATCTCTGGGTTCATGGTTTCAGGATGTTTAGGGTCGGTGGTCTGCGTTGATTGCGTAGGGTGCCGACAGGGTTTTGGGATTTGGATCTTGGGACACAATGTGTAGGGTTTAGGGTTCATGGTTTAGGATTCAGGGTTTAGGGCTCTAAGGGGCCTTTATGGGTTTAGGGTTCATTGAGGGTGTAGGGTTTAGGGCGTAGAAAATTAGAGGGTGTAGGGCGCTGGACATAAGTTTCAGGGCCCATACCCGGCCAGGGACGGTGCAACAGGGAGTTCTCAGAGATCCCGAAATCCCTTAGTTAAGGAACATGCCTTAAATTATAGGGGGCCGTAATATTATGGTTTAAGGTATACGTATTCCTTAATTAAAAAGTATTGGGATCCCCTGAGTTCTACGGGGCTGGTCTTGGGGCTCTAGGGTTTCGGCTCCAGTGGGTGTAAAGAGGGTCAGCTACCTCGGCTCTACCACCCATGCGTCTCCATGTTAACGTGGGACCAATCACACAGGCAAACCTCAACCCTAAACTCCAAAACTCCCAAACCTCTAAGTCCCTGAAACACCCAAGCAAATGCCTGTTCATTGAACAAAACCATCAAATCTCCCAAACTTGGATTCCAAAACGTCCATTAAAGGAGCCCTGCAACGGAACAGAGACATACCAAGATTCTCGAAGGCACGGAGCGCCGCCCTCTCCTTCGTAGCTTTGGGAGGCTCTGAAGGGAGTCGCTTTCGGGGTTTCGGATCCTCGCACTTCACTTCTTTCACGCGATAATTACCTATACTATTTTGGGGGGTCCTTATTATAACTATAGTATAATGGGCCCAAAACCCTATTCTAATTATTAAGGCCCCTATATTGGAAACCGGATCGCACTCATAACTCGTCCTTATAAGCCCAAACCCCCTGAATCCCTCACCGAAGGGAAGTATCCGGCAAGTGCAAGGCTAGCTCAACACTATGAACCTTAAACTTACCGGAAACCCGAAATCCTCAAACCCTATAGCCCTCTGACCCTAAACCTGAAATCACTACAGTAGGGTATTGAAGTATAGTAATTATATAACTATAACCATATACTTATATGCAGTGAACCCTATGCCGTAGTCATAATCAGAATCATAGTCATAGTCATAATCTTGACCATTGTCGTACTGTATACTAACAATAATACCAACAACATCATGCTTAATACTAGTACTATTACATCTTTTCACGATGCTACTGCTGATGGACAAAATCCTGCATGACCCTAAGGACTCCAAACTATGGAAATTATGGTATATTCCTTATAATGGGTCATGCAGGATTTTGTCCATCAGCAGTCCCCATTATATAACCCTGTACCTATAGATCCCTTTAAGGATCCCTATTATAGAACCCTATAGTACCTTACTAAAAGGAGCCTTCAACCGTATTTCAACAGTATTATCGGCCCTCAACCCCAAGACCCTAAACCCTAACGGACCCCAAAGCCCTAAACCCTAATGGACCCTAAAACCATAAACCCTTATGGACCCCATATCTCGTTGTTCGGTGCTCCTTCTTGGGTGCGGCGATGGCAGCACCGACCGCGGCGCCGAGGCCGCAGATGGCCAGGCCAGTCGATGAGGAAGAGGAGGCCTCCACAAGCTTTGGGCATTGGGCTCTTATAAACAATCGTGATAATAACAATAATAATATTAATAATAATATTAATAATGAAATCATAATATTAACAATGATAAACTTCCTGAGTTGTCCTTTAAGCCCTTTGAACATTATTTACGATCATGGTTCTCTACAGAACAGTAGAGGAAGTTAAAACAGATCCCAAAGGACAACCCAGCTTCCCTTTAAGGGCTCCTAGAGCATCAGAGCACACACTGCGGCACTGCGGATCGTGTTTGTCGCCACGCCGCTGCGCGCGAGAGCGCGTTTGGAGACGAGGAGTCTGACACAACGCTGCATGTGCTGGCGCGCCTTGGGCGAGCAAGCAGGAGCAGGAGCATCGGGTGCCTGGAAGGGACCCTTAATTCAGGCAAAGGCCAAGGCCACTGCTTCAGCCTTCACCGGTGTAGCCGCAGTGCGGCCAAGTGCAAAGCTCGGAGGCTCCGCACCAACGTGCATTCTACCAAGATTCCTAGCATGGACTTTGTAAGTCGAAAGGAAAACGTGTCTGTATATTGCCCTCCAAGGCCAGTGGTGGCTCGGAGGATCCTCGGACTCGGAAGCTGCCAAGCGCTTGAAACCAGCGTCCAAGGGAAAATGTGGAAGAACTTCTGTACATGTTTGCTCGTGATGAGCATCGGAACAGATTCAAGAGTGCCTGGTCTGCGTGCCAGGCTACCAAAACTTAGGCCCGCTCAGCTCAGTCTTCTCAGATCGTCATCTCCTCCTTCTTGGACGTCTCGTCCTGCCCCTCCAGGTTTACGAGATCGGCTCCCGGCTTTGATGCCTCAACCTCCTCATCATCATCCCCAGGAAGAGAGTCCAACTGCTTCAGCTCCTCCTCCGTGAACATGCACTTCAGGGCCTTGCGAATGATGGCCAAGGACGCCATGAAGAACGGGAACACTACGGAGGTTTCCTTAATGGCTTTCAAACCATAGAGAATGCCAAGACAGACTACTTGGACCAAGGTGTACAGGTGCACCCGCTTGATCGGAAGCTTCTGGACGTAGTGGTACTGTGGGTACCTGGCCGGGTCCCAGATGAGCCACAGCTTCAAGCGGTCGAACAAGTTGTTGCCGGTCAATGATGCAATGCCCATGTAGAAGAACACGCCCTGCAGCACGGCCCGCGGCAAGAACTTCAGCACCGGCGCCAGGAAGAGTGCAAGTCCTATCAGCACATGGATCAGGAAGTTAGTAGCACGCTGCTCCACTACCTTCGTAGGCACCTTGCGCTCACCTTCCGGAAGCTGCTGCACCTCGTAAGTGGTCAACGAGATCACATGCGTGATGCTCGGTACCGTGGAGGCCACGGAGAGTGGCAGGCCCAGCACAGCGCAAACAGGAAGGGTCAGTGCACCACGCACAAACAGGTCCTGGGGTCGCAATTTACTGGCTCTCAACACTTTTACACGCAGAAATACAACAAATAAATTCCAAAATCCCCCAATTGCCAACCAAGCGTCAAGGTGATACGCAGGAGGCTTTTTCAGGTTGTTGGATGGTCTGTTCACAATCACACTGGTGAGGTTCTGATCCAAGTATCCCAACACCGCAAAGCCAATGGCTGGCAGCACCGCATACGCAATGCCCCAAGCCGGGAACGGGCGCTCGATGCCTGCAGGATTCACGATCCAGGGCCGCTTGCTGCCATCGGACAAACTCAAGTTCGGGGCGAAGTCAGCATCCACCTGCAACATCCTCAGGCCCGTGTCATTCGAGTAAATGGCGGCCATTGCTGAACCCGAAACCAATGCGATGGTGACAGCGAAGTTGGCCCCAAAGTTACGGATGGCTCGGAATGTCCAAGGTGTGCGTCGGAAGCTGGACAAGTATGTGGCCCATCCATATGTCCAAAGAAACAACAAGCTCTCGAACATGCAATTCGTGAGCGTGAGCCTGCTCTCCGTGAAATTTTCGATGATTGGCCTCACTCCGTCAATGACGAAGATCAAAGATATCAGTCCCGCGAAGATGTCCTCACGACTGTACAGTTTAGGCTTCAGGGTTGCTCGGGGTATCGGGTTTAGTGTTTCTGGAGATGTCCTCACTGAACATGGTCACGTGCTTCATGAGTGCGCACAAGTCGAACACCGCCACGAGGATAGTGAACACCGAGCACCACATGCAGGTCCAGAAGTAAAATGGCATGAACTCTATGTCGACTGCAATAGCGAGGTCGTAGACGACCAAGGTGTAGGCCAAGAAGGGACCCGTAGCTCCAAGGATTGACAACGGCTGGCCCGCAAATGTCGAGAAGATCAAGCCCGATATCGAAGTACTCATTATCATCTCCAACACACCGAACTGGCCGTTCGTGCCGTCGAGGAACCGGCTGCCGAAGGTAATCGCAGGGGCGAGGGCTGCTATGAACCTTACTTCTCCACACTACGTACCCCAACACCGTTCAAAAAGATGCCGCTTCAGCATATGACTAAAGCATAGGAACCAGGCTGCAAAGTGAAGATCTAAGAAACAGATACAAGATTGAAGACACCGATTTTTGGAAGTTCTCCGGCATGAAGGCATCCGTCCAATCACTGCAAAATAGCGGCGCCCTCCTGCGAATGTCGAGTCGCAAACCCCCCGCTATGCGTCCGGTGAAGTCCAACGGCCCGTAATCTTTCTTCGCGCTGTGGGAGATATATCCGGACTCGTAGCGGTACACGGCCTCGGCCTCTGTCATTGTTGCGGCTCGGTGAAGGCGAGTGGCGCTGCAAGCAAGGGCTGAGCTTTGGGCCAGAATAGCTTGCCAAGAATGTGCAAGGGTTTCGCCATGCTGCGACATGCTACGAATCCGCACTCGCCTGAGTAGCACTTCATCGGGAGGCCGCCGGTGGCAGCTTCGCTGTTTGTCGCCACGCCGCTGCGCGCGAGAGCGCGTTTGGAGACGAGGAGTCTGACACAACGCTGCATGCGCTGGCGCGCCTTGGGCGAGCAAGCAGGAGCAGGAGCATCGGGTGCCTGGAAGGGACCCTTAATTCAGGCAAAGGCCAAGGCCACTGCTTCAGCCTTCACCGGTGTAGCCGCAGTGCGGCCAAGTGCAAAGCTCGGAGGCTCCGCACCAACATGCATTCTACCAAGATTCCTAGCATGGACTTTGTAAGTCGAAAGGAAAACGTGTCTGTATATTGCCCTCCAAGGCCAATGGTGGCTCGGAGGATCCTCGGACTCGGAAGCTGCCAAGCGCTTGAAACCAGCGTCCAAGGGAAAATGTGGAAGAACTTCTGTACATGTTTGCTCGTGATGAGCATCGGAACAGATTCAAGAGTGCCTGGTCTGCGTGCCAGGCTACCAAAACTTAGGCCCGCTCAGCTCAGTCTTCTCAGATCGTCATCTGCTCCTTCTTGGACGTCTCGTCCTGCCCCTCCAGGTTTACGAGATCGGCTCCCGGCTTTGATGCCTCAACCTCCTCATCATCATCATCCCCAGGAAGAGAGTCCAACTGCTTCAGCTCCTCCTCCGTGAACATGCACTTCAGGGCCTTGCGAATGATGGCCAAGGACGCCATGAAGAACGGGAACACTACGGAGGTTTCCTTAATGGCTTTCAAACCATAGAGAATGCCAAGACAGACTACTTGGACCAAGGTGTACAGGTGCACCCGCTTGATCGGAAGCTTCTGGACGTAGTGGTACTGTGGGTACCTGGCCGGGTCCCAGATGAGCCACAGCTTCAAGCGGTCGAACAAGTTGTTGCCGGTCAATGATGCAATGCCCATGTAGAAGAACACGCCCTGCAGCACGGCCCGCGGCAAGAACTTCAGCACCGGCGCCAGGAAGAGTGCAAGTCCTATCAGCACATGGATCAGGAAGTTAGTAGCACGCTGCTCCACTACCTTCGTAGGCACCTTGCGCTCACCTTCCGGAAGCTGCTGCACCTCGTAAGTGGTCAACGAGATCACATGCGTGATGCTCGGTACCGTGGAGGCCACGGAGAGTGGCAGGCCCAGCACAGCGCAAACAGGAAGGGTCAGTGCACCACGCACAAACAGGTCCTGGGGTCGCAATTTACTGGCTCTCAACACTTTTACACGCAGAAATACAACAAATAAATTCCAAAATCCCCCAATTGCCAACCAAGCGTCAAGGTGATACGCAGGAGGCTTTTTCAGGTTGTTGGATGGTCTGTTCACAATCACACTGGTGAGGTTCTGATCCAAGTATCCCAACACCGCAAAGCCAATGGCTGGCAGCACCGCATACGCAATGCCCCAAGCCGGGAACGGGCGCTCGATGCCTGCAGGATTCACGATCCAGGGCCGCTTGCTGCCATCGGACAAACTCAAGTTCGGGGCGAAGTCAGCATCCACCTGCAACATCCTCAGGCCCGTGTCATTCGAGTAAATGGCGGCCATTGCTGAACCCGAAACCAATGCGATGGTGACCGCGAAGTTGGCCCCAAAGTTACGGATGGCTCGGAATGTCCAAGGTGTGCGTCGGAAGCTGGACAAGTATGTGGCCCATCCATATGTCCAAAGAAACAACAAGCTCTCGAACATGCAATTCGTGAGCGTGAGCCTGCTCTCCGTGAAATTTTCGATGATTGGCCTCACTCCGTCAATGATGAAGATCAAAGATATCAGTCCCGCGAAGATGTCCTCACGACTGTACAGTTTAGGCTTCAGGGTTGCTCTGGGTATCGGGTTTAGTGTTTCTGGAGATGTCCTCACTGAACATGGTCACGTGCTTCATGAGTGCGCACAAGTCGAACACCGCCACGAGGATAGTGAACACCGAGCACCACATGCAGGTCCAGAAGTAAAATGGCATGAACTCTATGTCGACTGCAATAGCGAGGTCGTAGACGACCAAGGTGTAGGCCAAGAAGGGACCCGTAGCTCCAAGGATTGACAACGGCTGGCCCGCAAATGTCGAGAAGATCAAGCCCGATATCGAAGTACTCATTATCATCTCCAACACACCGAACTGGCCGTTCGTGCCGTCGAGGAACCGGCTGCCGAAGGTAATCGCAGGGGCGAGGGCTGCTATGAACCTTACTTCTCCACACTACGTACCCCAACACCGTTCAAAAAGATGCCGCTTCAGCATATGACTAAAGCATAGGAACCAGGCTGCAAAGTGAAGATCTAAGAAACAGATACAAGATTGAAGACACCGATTTTTGGAGGTTCTCCGGCATGAAGGCATCCGTCCAATCACTGCAAAATAGCGGCGCCCTCCTGCGAATGTCGAGTCGCAAACCCCCCGCTATGCGTCCGGTGAAGTCCAACGGCCCGTAATCTTTCTTCGCGCTGTGGGAGATATATCCGGACTCGTAGCGGTACACGGCCTCGGCCTCTGTCATTGTTGCGGCTCGGTGAAGGCGAGTGGCGCTGCAAGCAAGGGCTGAGCTTTGGGCCAGAATAGCTTGCCAAGAATGTGCAAGGGTTTCGCCATGCTGCGACATGCTACGAATCCGCACTCGCCTGAGTAGCACTTCATCGGGAGGCCGCCGGTGGCAGCTTCGCTGTTTGTCGCCACGCCGCTGCGCGCGAGAGCGCGTTTGGAGACGAGGAGTCTGACACAACGCTGCATGCGCTGGCGCGCCTTGGGCGAGCAAGCAGGAGCAGGAGCATCGGGTGCCTGGAAGGGACCCTTAATTCAGGCAAAGGCCAAGGCCACTGCTTCAGCCTTCACCGGTGTAGCCGCAGTGCGGCCAAGTGCAAAGCTCGGAGGCTCCGCACCAACATGCATTCTACCAAGATTCCTAGCATGGACTTTGTAAGTCGAAAGGAAAACGTGTCTGTATATTGCCCTCCAAGGCCAATGGTGGCTCGGAGGATCCTCGGACTCGGAAGCTGCCAAGCGCTTGAAACCAGCGTCCAAGGGAAAATGTGGAAGAACTTCTGTACATGTTTGCTCGTGATGAGCATCGGAACAGATTCAAGAGTGCCTGGTCTGCGTGCCAGGCTACCAAAACTTAGGCCCGCTCAGCTCAGTCTTCTCAGATCGTCATCTCCTCCTTCTTGGACGTCTCGTCCTGCCCCTCCAGGTTTACGAGATCGGCTCCCGGCTTTGATGCCTCAACCTCCTCATCATCATCATCCCCAGGAAGAGAGTCCAGCTGCTTCAGCTCCTCCTCCGTGAACATGCACTTCAGGGCCTTGCGAATGATGGCCAAGGACGCCATGAAGAACGGGAACACTACGGAGGTTTCCTTAATGGCTTTCAAACCATAGAGAATGCCAAGACAGACTACTTGGACCAAGGTGTACAGGTGCACCCGCTTGATCGGAAGCTTCTGGACGTAGTGGTACTGTGGGTACCTGGCCGGGTCCCAGATGAGCCACAGCTTCAAGCGGTCGAACAAGTTGTTGCCGGTCAATGATGCAATGCCCATGTAGAAGAACACGCCCTGCAGCACGGCCCGCGGCAAGAACTTCAGCACCGGCGCCAGGAAGAGTGCAAGTCCTATCAGCACATGGATCAGGAAGTTAGTAGCACGCTGTTCCACTACCTTCGTAGGCACCTTGCGCTCACCTTCCGGAAGCTGCTGCACCTCGTAAGTGGTCAACGAGATCACATGCGTGATGCTCGGTACCGTGGAGGCCACGGAGAGTGGCAGGCCCAGCACAGCGCAAACAGGAAGGGTCAGTGCACCACGCACAAACAGGTCCTGGGGTCGCAATTTACTGGCTCTCAACACTTTTACACGCAGAAATACAACAAATAAATTCCAAAATCCCCCAATTGCCAACCAAGCGTCAAGGTGATACGCAGGAGGCTTTTTCAGGTTGTTGGATGGTCTGTTCACAATCACACTGGTGAGGTTCTGATCCAAGTATCCCAGCACCGCAAAGCCAATGGCTGGCAGCACCGCATACGCAATGCCCCAAGCCGGGAACGGGCGCTCGATGCCTGCAGGATTCACGATCCAGGGCCGCTTGCTGCCATCGGACAAACTCAAGTTCGGGGCGAAGTCAGCATCCACCTGCAACATCCTCAGGCCCGTGTCATTCGAGTAAATGGCGGCCATTGCTGAACCCGAAACCAATGCGATGGTGACAGCGAAGTTGGCCCCAAAGTTACGGATGGCTCGGAATGTCCAAGGTGTGCGTCGGAAGCTGGACAAGTATGTGGCCCATCCATATGTCCAAAGAAACAACAAGCTCTCGAACATGCAATTCGTGAGCGTGAGCCTGCTCTCCGTGAAATTTTCGATGATTGGCCTCACTCCGTCAATGATGAAGATCAAAGATATCAGTCCCGCGAAGATGTCCTCACGACTGTACAGTTTAGGCTTCAGGGTTGCTCTGGGTATCGGGTTTAGTGTTTCTGGAGATGTCCTCACTGAACATGGTCACGTGCTTCATGAGTGCGCACAAGTCGAACACCGCCACGAGGATAGTGAACACCGAGCACCACATGCAGGTCCAGAAGTAAAATGGCATGAACTCTATGTCGACTCATTCATTCATTCATGTTGATGAGGGTGTGCGCAACCGAGCACGGGTTATCACCCACCCCTGGTAAAACCGAAACGAAAAGAAGAGACCCACAGAGGGGGCCATTCAGCGCATGCAGGCGCAGGAGCATCACGTGAGCGAGAAGTCACCTGGCCAGGATCAGGTCGTCCAGATGACGGCCGCCACTCACATGTCGAGAATTCGAGACCATACAGAGACTCAGCGAAGAATACCATCCGAGCCGGCGGCTCAAAAGATGCACGGCTTCCAACTGAATGCCAGACAGAGGCCACCTCAACCCTAACTAGTCAACCCTACGGGAACGAGGCCTAAACCCAAGTGGCTTAGGGCAGGGTACCAACGGCAAGGGCCAGCAGGCAAGCGGGCAAACACTCACGTTGCGCAGCCAATAACTGCATGGCAGACATGGTCACATCAACAAGAAAATCTACCCTACTAGCGAGAAAGGGCCACGGCCAGGAACTGCCGACGAGGGACGGCACGGCAACGGGTATGGCCCTCGGCGCAGCCTACAACTGAAAGTCAGACGACGGCCGCATCGACTAAAATTTTGAAACCCAACTGGCGAGGGATCTAAACCCAAGACACTTAGGGGTGGAATCGGCAGCAAGGCGCGCAGGTCTGGCGGCTTTCACGGCTCTCGAGACGCAGTGCACTTACGTTGGAGGAAATCCCCAAAATCAGACAGTGGTCTCTCGCGCTGGCACCACTCGCATCGCACCTTGAGGGTCTTGACACGCTCGGAATAGACTTTACCTGACAAGGAAGGATCAGGTGGCTCTGGAAGGATGACCCAATGGAGCTTGAGCTCCGCAGCCTTCTCATTGTGGGAATCCACACGCTTGCGTCTCTTTTCCCAATCAGTAATCTTCTTGGAGAGCTTCGAGGAAACCGTGCGGGAGGTTGCAGCCGGGGCACTCGAAGCAGACGTAGCCGCATCAACCTGAACACACCACTGAAGTTGAGCCTCCTCCTCATGTCCACGCCGCTCTTCACGCCTGACGTAAATGGGCACTCTGCGGACCTTAGCATCCCACTCAGACTCTCTAGATGGCACCAGCAGCGGGGGCTGCTGTTGAAAGAAGTCAGCATCACTGGCATACGTTGCCTCTCCGGCCACTCGGAAGAAATGTTCAACCGTCTCAGGGTTGAGAAGCAGCGGCCTCCAAGCCAAGCCGGAAGTGCGGGGAAGGCCATAGCTACGACCCAAGCAGTTCACAGTTTGCGAGCCCAAACCAACAGGCCACGGTCTACGGCGAACATATCTTCCGACAGCAGAGGCCGCAGCTGAGAAAGCACGGCCACGAGTGCCGAGGTGCTTCGGATGGGAGACTCGAGGCATCTCCAACAAAACCCCCGTAGCAACTTCGAAATCAATAGCTAGTTCAAGCCAAGATATGTCCTGGCTGCGGCCTCCCTCCGGCCACTGAAGGCGGCCCAAGTAAAACTCCATGGCGGGCAGTAGGCAAGGTTTCACGCCAAGCTGCTGTGTCATGCCTTCATCGCGAGTGGAGCAACCCGTAGCGCGGGTAACCAACAGCCATGGTTTGGGAACATCACGCCACTCCATGGAAACAGCATCACCAATGCGAGCACCGCGCCTGAGCGCTAGAGCATGGACCTGAATCGGACGACGACGCACCTCACCGGTAGGTGGAGAGGAGTCATCAACAGGAGGCTCGACTGGGTTAGGCGGGCCTCCATCATTCAAGCCAGTGGGGGCGGCCTTGCCTCGATAGCGACGGCCTCCTGTAGGTTGCATTTCTGCTGCCTGCAGGAGTCGCTGCTGGAGCTGGGCCCAACCTTGTGAGACTAGCTGGTGATCCGCAGGCGTAGTCACCGCAGGCTTCTGAGTTTCTTTCTGCGCTCTGGCAACACAAATGCACATCATGCACATCTGAATCCATATGGTGTCACGCAGTAACTGCCCAAACTCCCGCACCCGTGCAGTCCAAGTAGGATGTTGGTGAAGTGCTGCACCTCGTTTCGCGAGCTCGTCAGCTGCATGATTGCCTGCAATCTGCGAAGGCGTCAAACCATGTTGAGCGCAGTCAGCAACCGAGATATGGGATGGCACGAAAACGAACTTCAACGAAATCTGGCTGCAAGCATGCCACAACCGGATCCAAAGCTCGTAATGCTCCCACGATTTAGGAACAGACTGCAGGGTAGACAGCGTACGAGCCCTCATCACAACCCAGGACGAGTCCGAATGCACCACCATGGGACGGCACCATGAAACCCCCTGCTCAGCCGCAAGGACAACGGCCATCAGCTCAGCACGATTGTTGGTTTGCAGTTCACCCGCCAGCGCAGCACAAAAATTCAGAGCAGAACCAGGCTTGTAGAAGATACCGAGGCCACTACGCACCAGTTCAGGGACTCCGGAGTGGCTGGTACTGCCATCAGTCCAGACCATGATCCCATGTTGTTCTTCTGTAAGCAGGTGCCGAGCGCTTGCCCACTCGACTGTGGCAGGTTGCACCTGCGACATCTGAGCCAAACGCTGCCATTCCTCAAGGACCCAAGCTGGATACATGGTGATGCCAGCTGTGCGAGTAACCATGTGCGGATGTCTCTCCCATACCCTCGGGCAAAATTGCTCGACAGTGGCACGGCGGATGTAATCCCAAGCCGGGCATTCCCAGTACATGTGCTCCTTGGTCTCATCAACGTTGCGGTCGCAATGAATGCACGTCGCACTGCAAGCTAGTTGCTGTTTGACAAGCTGGTACCGGGCAGTGGTAGCACCGGAAAGCACGCCTTCAAGAACACCTTTCATGTAGCACGACAGGGAGCCGCCACAGAAGTGAGTGAGCTGCTGCCGGCAGTTGGGGATCAAACAGTCAAGGTCAACACGATTCATGCCTCCACGAAGGAGGCATGTGGTCGCAAAGATGTTGACGCCGACCTCGCTTTGGATGCCAACCATATCTTTACGGGTAATGCTTTGCCACCTGCTCCAACGCAGCTCTTCCCGGAGTCGGTGTGCCAAGAACGAACCACTGCCCTTCCAAAGAAACAGACGTCTGTCCTGGCGGGAGGCGACTGTGTCAAAATCAACCCAGTGTAACTGAGCCTCCTTCAGCAGAAAAGCCAGGTTGCGAATTGGCCCAGCCATGCGAGAACTACCTGCTTGCTGACACTGTGGCCAAAGTTCTCGAGCACGCTCATAGAGATCCTGTCGTTTCAGAAACAGCCTACGAAGACCCATGACAGTCTGGAAGAGCACCGCCTGAACTGGATCCACCAGGTGGCCTTTGCGCAGCATAGTGAACAAAACCTCGGGGTTTCTTTGCGTGCGCGCTTCAGTCCACAAGGTGGCAGCACTGGCGTTTCGAACCTTCTCACAGGAATGCGCTGCAGGACGACCGACCTCACATCCGTACACGAATTGCTTCATGGCCTTAGTGACAGCATACTTCTCGGCAGCTCGCGGAGCAACACCAACAGAGCGGATTTTCTGCAAAGTGTCAACGCAGGTTTGAGCCCGTTCTTCACTAACCGCAATCCTTCTTAGCTTACCAGCAACAACCTGGTGTCCAACGACTTTGGCTTCTTCTCGAACCTCAAGAGTCCCGTCCGTGGCTACATGAACCGTCTGTGAGAGCGACGGCTTAGGCACAACAGCGAATGATTTACGCGTGTTGGTCTCTTGGCCACTCAGACGGTCAAAGAGATGCACCTCTTGCCATGCAGCTGTGGCCGCCTCTACACTGTCAGATGGAAAACTGACCCGACTATCATCGAAGTAAGCACGAGGGCGGAGGCCAAGGGTGGTGTTGCGGCGACACCAAACGCCCATTAGCACATGAATCATAGCCACAGATAGCGCGCAGCCTTGAAGCGGGGCAGTCGACTGCCAAGGTTTGCTGAGAGCCCCGTTGATTTTGAAACGCCGGGTGAGCTTCCCATAGAAGCCCTCCAAGGCACAGACAAGACGTGCAGGCCCACCGATGGCTGTCCAGAGACTGGCCCACACAGGTAGCAAGATCTTGTCGAAACACTTGGTCTTGTCAAAGAACATGGTGCTCAAGTGGGGCGCCAACTCGTTCAGGGACGCCTCATGCTCGAGAGCCATCTCCAACATTTGCTCCAGAGGCTCACCGAGAACCGTAGGAGGACAAACCTGATGCAACCACTTTTTGATGTGTCTGAAACGTAGGCTCGCCCAACAGGCACGAACAACAGCTGCACACGAGATGGGACGCAGTTTCAGCGGCTCAGTGCCCTCACCTTTGCTCAACATCGTGACGTTGACGGCCAGCATAGGACTAGGCCACTGGCCCGTACGCTCAGCTAAGTCGAGCAGCTCCGCCATGGCATCCCAAAACACGACTGGCAGTTGCTGTAACTCGCACGTGCGCCAGCTGTCCAAACCACCCACCGCTTTTGCAGGTCGCTCATGCACCTGCTGCATGAGGTCCGCGCCCAGAAGCGGCGGCAGGTCATACGGAACTTTCATGGCAGCAATCTCCTGAGCATATTCCTGAAGGAAAGGCTCAGGCGAGGCACAATCTGTACGGTCAAAGATGGGCGCCCAATCAGCAGCGACCTTGTCCAAAATGGCATTGATGTCGAAGGTGAGTTGGCCATCGACAACCATGGAGTGCATGCGAGGTGGTGGTGGTGCTTTAAGCAAGCGAAAAACACCCTTGGAGGAGGCAATGTCCGAGTCATGTATCATTTCCTTCCAGTGCTTGCGCCTTGCAGCAACAACCAAGCCCAACTGGGTATCAAGTTCAATCTCAAGCGAAGCCAAAGCCTCCTGGATCTGAAGCATGGTGGGACACTCGGGCCAGGCATGAGGCAAGAGCTTGCGTCCAAGACTGCGACCGCGCTCCCACGTAGTCTCAAAGCGGATTCTGTCGGCAACAGAGAGGGCGACATCACCGTAACGACTGAGCATGCAAAGGCACTCCCGAAGGCATCTGGCTGCACGACGGCCTTCGCGGATGCGGTGAGGTTCCGCGGGCCCCGAGTAGCCCGAAGCGGCAGCAGGAATGACCCGGGGTTGGGACAAACTGCCGCGCGACGGAAATTTCGCCCCAATACGACGACTGAGGTAAGTCGTGGCAGCCGCGGACCAAAGTTCGTATGCAAGGTCAGGCGTGTGGGAAGCAACCGCCTTGGAAAAGGCATCCGCGGAACCATCCCAGACTTCCCGAGCAAGATCAAGCTCCTCAGCAAGAGGCATGGGCGGCCAATCCTCAGGCGCGGGACCCGCCGGCTGCAGGGGTAAAACCACAACCTTGGCATCGTGTAATGCGGCAGTGTTGAGCGTGATTTGCAATGGAACGTGATCCGGGCGACGGTCCCCAATCTGTAAAGGTAACAGGTGCTTGTTCAGATCAACTCTGTGTTCGAAGGATCCAACCATACTTGCTGCGAGAGCGTTCGCCAAGATCAAATCATTCACGGCACGACAAGCTTTATCGTCATGCCAATTACCTCCATGGCACCAGGTGGGGGCCCCTCCAAGATCAAAAAGGTTTGCAAGGTTTTGCCAACCACGCTGATACCATAACTGGAACGCTGAGGAACGTATGACATCAGATTGGAAATCTCCCCCGAGGAACAATGGAACATTGCCCAGACCCGCGACATATTGCTGCAGAGCCCACAAGAACTTCTCGTTGTATCCAGGGTCCTGTACCTTGCAATAAACATTCAAAAGGTGGATCTTGACTCCCTGCAGTGAAGCGATAACATGTTGGAAGCGGCCATCCAATGCATAGCAACTCATGTCACCCAAAGATGACACCTGGATCTCTGACGCTGGAAGACCGGCAGCTGTAACACAGCACACTCCGGTGCTGGAGCCATCGAGAGGGCCAGAACCCCAGTAGACAGTACGTCTGTACTGCCCCAGTGAACGCATGACCTCTTGCTTGCCTCGCGGGAACATGGAAGTTTCTTGAAAAAGGAGAATGTCAGGGGCACTCCCAAGTGAAGCGCGCCTGGCAGGGAAAGAGCAAACATTGTTCCACAGAATTGTGGCGTTGGACAATGACCTGCGGTTAGCAATGTTGCCATTCAAAGCATGCATGCAACGGCTTCTGGAAGCAAAGGGGACAGAGCCCCATACGAATTTCCACTTCGCGTGCCAGGCAAGGCCTAGTCACGCGGATGGCGCCGTCTTCTGTCTCTTATCTGCCAAAGCTTCATGAAGGAGCTGGCTTATGTCATCCTTCGTGGCGACTTTCTGCATCGTGTCCTTTACAAAGGCCTGGAGCCCGTTCATATCGTCTTTGATGCCATGCAGTTTTTTCGCCTGGCTTTCCAGATCGCCCTTCAGCGTAGCAAACTTGGAATCAACATACCGCCTGAGCTCGGAAACCTCATTGGAATGCGCACTGGGCCCTTGCGGAGTAACAGCCTGGGATTGGGCAGGGGGAACAACCGCGGGTTCAGAGATCCTCGCTGGATCATACCTGCGCCGCTCAGCCTTAGCAGCCTGCTTTTGGTCGTGACGCTTCTGGTGCATCTCTTGGGGCGTGGCAAGCTTCTCAATGATCACTGAGCCTGTGGATGTTAGAAGCTTGTCCTTGGCGGGCGCCGCATCAGCAGCGACGACCCAAGTCCTCTGATCCTTCCGAACGAAGCTCCGCAGAGGCCGCACTTGCCACGACGTCCATGCCTGGGCTTGGACCTCTTTTGCCAACAAAGCTTGCACGTCATCAGCTTCAGTTCTGAGGGGGAGGCCGGAAACTTCGAAGTGGAGATTGCCGCGAATCTTGGCAGTGCTTTGGCTGACCTTGCCCGGCTGAAGCACTGCACGAGCTTGCGCAAGTTCATCGCCCGTGCCAGTAATGCGTACTCCTAATCCTTGCTTGTTCACGGCTAAACCCTGTACTCCGCGAAGGGGCTGAACACGAGCTTGCAACTCCGCAACAGTGGAGGTATTGACCCACAGGATTACCTCCTCGTTCCCTGCAGTTTGGCCGGCACGCTTGAGCCGCCGCACGAACACACCATGCGTTCCACTCTGTCTGAGCAGTTTGTCTGCAGCGGAGCTGGGAACCCTGGCAGCACACTCACACGACGCTTGATTGTGCGTGTAACCGTAAATTTCAACCAAAGCTCCGGGAATCTCAGAAGTAGGATCTTTATCATTGCGGAGTGCAGTGACTGTCTTAGCCATGGCTTTGCGGTTGCCCTGAAACACTTGTTGCCAAAGGTTACCTGCATAGCGCTTGTGCACGGAGAACCAAAGCTCAACAGTGTCACTGACTGGCACCTTCAGGTCCGCAGGCAAAGCTGTGAATGTCACCGGACTTGCACCCAAATTGATCACCGTAACTCTGCGCCGTTCTCTCCTCTCTTTTGTGGGGTCGCGAAGGGTTAGTTCTCCAGCACATGCTGCGCTCTCTCCAATGCCGCTTGCAAGGAGCTGCTTAAGATCATCACGGTCATGACCAGGAACAATCATGCACAAAGGATGCTGACTGCGTACCCACTTGTATCGGTCTACAGTAGCCATGTTGGTCAACACGATCCCTGTAGCCTCTGGTTGCAGGTCTTGCAACGAAATCTGAGTCAACAGCGGCTCCAACTCATCCATGTGCGGGATCTGCATATCCTCCCACTTGGCCGATGTGAGCTTGGGGGGCTTAGGCTTACCAGACTTAGGAGCCTGCTGCCATGGATCTTGAACCAGCCAAGGGTCAGCACCGGTGGCGGCAGGGCCACCGTTGCCCACAAGTGCATGCATGAGGCGGTTACGTCTAGCTGCTAACACTGCTGAGGCACCGGAATCGACGCAATCGGGCGCTAGAGAAGGCGCACTGCAAACAAGCCAGGCATCGTTAGTCCATGCAGCCGCGGTAGACGAAGCTGCACAGTGCCCCCCGGCCCTCGTGCCGGTGATGCCAATCGCAGAGTCCCAGGGCTCTGCGCCGGGGGTGAACTCTATGTCGACTGCAATAGCGAGGTCGTAGACGACCAAGGTGTAGGCCAAGAAGGGACCCGTAGCTCCAAGGATTGACAACGGCTGGCCCGCAAATGTCGAGAAGATCAAGCCCGATATCGAAGTACTCATTATCATCTCCAACACACCGAACTGGCCGTTCGTGCCGTCGAGGAACCGGCTGCCGAAGGTAATCGCAGGGGCGAGGGCTGCTATGAACCTTACTTCTCCACACTACGTACCCCAACACCGTTCAAAAAGATGCCGCTTCAGCATATGACTAAAGCATAGGAACCAGGCTGCAAAGTGAAGATCTAAGAAACAGATACAAGATTGAAGACACCGATTTTTGGAAGTTCTCCGGCATGAAGGCATCCGTCCAATCACTGCAAAATAGCGGCGCCCTCCTGCGAATGTCGAGTCGCAAACCCCCCGCTATGCGTCCGGTGAAGTCCAACGGCCCGTAATCTTTCTTCGCGCTGTGGGAGATATATCCGGACTCGTAGCGGTACACGGCCTCGGCCTCTGTCATTGTTGCGGCTCGGTGAAGGCGAGTGGCGCTGCAAGCAAGGGCTGAGCTTTGGGCCAGAATAGCTTGCCAAGAATGTGCAAGGGTTTCGCCATGCTGCGACATGCTACGAATCCGCACTCGCCTGAGTAGCACTTCATCGGGAGGCCGCCGGTGGCAGCTTCGCTGTTTGTCGCCACGCCGCTGCGCGCGAGAGCGCGTTTGGAGACGAGGAGTCTGACACAACGCTGCATGCGCTGGCGCGCCTTGGGCGAGCAAGCAGGAGCAGGAGCATCGGGTGCCTGGAAGGGACCCTTAATTCAGGCAAAGGCCAAGGCCACTGCTTCAGCCTTCACCGGTGTAGCCGCAGTGCGGCCAAGTGCAAAGCTCGGAGGCTCCGCACCAACATGCATTCTACCAAGATTCCTAGCATGGACTTTGTAAGTCGAAAGGAAAACGTGTCTGTATATTGCCCTCCAAGGCCAATGGTGGCTCGGAGGATCCTCGGACTCGGAAGCTGCCAAGCGCTTGAAACCAGCGTCCAAGGGAAAATGTGGAAGAACTTCTGTACATGTTTGCTCGTGATGAGCATCGGAACAGATTCAAGAGTGCCTGGTCTGCGTGCCAGGCTACCAAAACTTAGGCCCGCTCAGCTCAGTCTTCTCAGATCGTCATCTCCTCCTTCTTGGACGTCTCGTCCTGCCCCTCCAGGTTTACGAGATCGGCTCCCGGCTTTGATGCCTCAACCTCCTCATCATCATCCCCAGGAAGAGAGTCCAGCTGCTTCAGCTCCTCCTCCGTGAACATGCACTTCAGGGCCTTGCGAATGATGGCCAAGGACGCCATGAAGAACGGGAACACTACGGAGGTTTCCTTAATGGCTTTCAAACCATAGAGAATGCCAAGACAGACTACTTGGACCAAGGTGTACAGGTGCACCCGCTTGATCGGAAGCTTCTGGACGTAGTGGTACTGTGGGTACCTGGCCGGGTCCCAGATGAGCCACAGCTTCAAGCGGTCGAACAAGTTGTTGCCGGTCAATGATGCAATGCCCATGTAGAAGAACACGCCCTGCAGCACGGCCCGCGGCAAGAACTTCAGCACCGGCGCCAGGAAGAGTGCAAGTCCTATCAGCACATGGATCAGGAAGTTAGTAGCACGCTGTTCCACTACCTTCGTAGGCACCTTGCGCTCACCTTCCGGAAGCTGCTGCACCTCGTAAGTGGTCAACGAGATCACATGCGTGATGCTCGGTACCGTGGAGGCCACGGAGAGCGGCAGGCCCAGCACAGCGCAAACAGGAAGGGTCAGTGCACCACGCACAAACAGGTCCTGGGGTCGCAATTTACTGGCTCTCAACACTTTTGCACGCAGAAATACAACAAATAAACTCCAAAATCCCCCAATTGCCAACCAAGCGTCAAGGTGATACGCAGGAGGCTTTTTCAGGTTGTTGGATGGTCTGTTCACAATCACACTGGTGAGGTTCTGATCCAAGTATCCCAACACCGCAAAGCCAATGGCTGGCAGCACCGCATACGCAATGCCCCAAGCCGGGAACGGGCGCTCGATGCCTGCAGGATTCACGATCCAGGGCCGCTTGCTGCCATCGGACAAGCTCAAGTTCGGGGCGAAGTCAGCATCCACCTGCAACATCCTCAGGCCCGTGTCATTCGAGTAAATGGCGGCCATTGCTGAACCCGAAACCAATGCGATGGTGACCGCGAAGTTGGCCCCAAAGTTACGGATGGCTCGGAATGTCCAAGGTGTGCGTCGGAAGCTGGACAAGTATGTGGCCCATCCATATGTCCAAAGAAACAACAAGCTCTCGAACATGCAATTCGTGAGCGTGAGCCTGCTCTCCGTGAAATTTTCGATGATTGGCCTCACTCCGTCAATGATGAAGATCAAAGATATCAGTCCCGCGAAGATGTCCTCACGACTTTACAGTTTAGGCTTCAGGGTTGCTCGGGGTATCGGGTTTAGTGCTTCTGGAGATGTCCTCACTGAACATGGTCACGTGCTTCATGAGTGCGCACAAGTCGAACACCGCCACGAGGATAGTGAACACCGAGCACCACATGCAGGTCCAGAAGTAAAATGGCATGAACTCTATGTCGACTGCAATAGCGAGGTCGTAGACGACCAAGGTGTAGGCCAAGAAGGGACCCGTAGCTCCAAGGATTGACAACGGCTGGCCCGCAAATGTCGAGAAGATCAAGCCCGATATCGAAGTACTCATTATCATCTCCAACACACCGAACTGGCCGTTCGTGCCGTCGAGGAACCGGCTGCCGAAGGTAATCGCAGGGGCGAGGGCTGCTATGAACCTTACTTCTCCACACTACATACCCCAACACCGTTCAAAAAGATGCCGCTTCAGCATATGACTAAAGCATAAGAACCAGGCTGCGTAGTGAAGATCTAAGGAACAGATACAAGATTGAAGACACCGATTTTTGGAAGTTCTCCGGCATGAAGGCATCCGTCCAATCACTGCAAAATAGCGGCGCCCTCCTGCGAATGTCGAGTCGCAAACCCCCCGCTATGCGTCCGGTGAAGTCCAACGGCCCGTAATCTTTCTTCGCGCTGTGGGAGATATATCCGGACTCGTAGCGGTACACGGCCTCGGCCTCTGTCATTGTTGCGGCTCGGTGAAGGCGGGTGGCGCTGCAAGAAAGGGCTGAGCTTTGGGCCAGAATAGCTTGCCAAGAACGAGCAAGGCTGCAATGATTTCAAGGAAAGTGGGTCAAGTCCTGTTCTGCAATCTTCTGAGGCCCAAGGTTTCTTAATCAGGTTCCTACATTGCACTGATTCCGCTAGGCCTTGGCGTGGCCCTGAGCGGTGCTGCGCAGCGCAGGGCCGCGGGTGGTGCTGGGCGCGGTAACGAAGGCCGTGCCTGGGTTCATTGGTTTAGGGGTTTAGGGTTCCTGTAAAGGGATCCAAAAGGGTTAGAGGAGGGTTCCTTTAAAGGGATCCATCAGGGTTAGGGGTTTGAGCGTTTAGGTGTTTAGGCGTTTAGGGCTTACGGCGTCTATAAGGACTACTACAAGGGGTAGAATCGGGGGTTTAGTCTAGGACCTTAATTATGAAAATAGGATATTAAGGGTTTACAGGGTTTAGGATGGTTTAGGGTTTAACGTTTAGGATTTACGGTTCAGGGTTCATGCAGATGCGTCCGACAGCCGGCTACGGATTGGTCTTACTTAAGTTATTAACCTTCCGATACAGAGAGAGAGAGCGAGAGAGAGAGAGGGAGAGAGAGAGAGAGATAGGGGTCTTATTCAGTTATCCTGAGATACCACAGCAAGCATACACCACATATGCACAGTGACAGAGAGCGTGCATGAGATACGTGCCTCATCGTGGTTGCTGAAATTCATTTCCTCAACAAGAACCCGTGCCACCTCACAGAACTTAAAGATTCATGGCTTGCTGGGAGAAAAGCCCTGACGCAGCCCCAGTGCCTGGTGAGCCAAGCATCTGCTCGAGTCTTACGGGTCTCTAGGATCTAGTGCTTTTGGGTTACTATCGGGGCCGGGGGTTCCTTTAAAGGGGACTATAAGGGGTTACTATAAGGGATCTATAGGGATACTGTGAATTTTCAGGCCGTCGGGCTTAAGGGGAGTAAACCATATACGACGCCGGGGCTGAAACAAAAGAGGCAAGACGCAGCCCGCTGCGGCCACTGCAGCGACGGCAATCTGCTGGGTCGAGGGAGCCTCAACACACACCGGATCTTGGCCCCAAACACGGTCATAGGGGCTACCGAGTTCCGATCAAGACTTCGAAGAACAAGCTTCAGCGGCTTTACCCAAGCGGTGTTCCGTGTCGAGACATGTGCCAGCTGTTGATGGCAAACCAAACCCACGTTGGCTACGCTCCTCATCGTGTTCCCTCCAAGGCTGGGAGAAGTGTCGATGATCTATTGAGCCAGGATTTCCGTATTACAGGCGTTCCGAGGACATGGAAGCTTCGGAGGTTGAGCTGCGCAAAAGTTGTGGGGTGGCAGGATGCATACTAACGACCCAGCGTTTCTCGGTCAGGTTTCCATAGTAGGGCTTCTTTGGTTGAGGGCGTAGGGCACAAGAAGCTGTCCGCTGCACAGACGGCGCTGGAGAGGCAACAAGCTGAAGATGTGGTCTCAAGACATACTATAAAGATTAGAAAACCAATTACATTACTATAATTCATACCTAAATAACTAAGATAAAAAGAGAAATGATTAAATTGTATAAAGGCAATCTTGTTCATGTCAGCCTTGCGTTAATGCCTCTGGGTAGTTCGCTAAATTAGGGTCCCTGTGGTCTATTATGTGGGGACCTAAAAAGGGACCCCTAATTTAGAGAACTACCCATATGGGGAAGCGGCATGGGTGGGATGAATGGTGGGCTTATGTCAATGTGACAATGAACGCTTTGACAAGCAGAAACGGGAATCACCTCCAAACTCCCTGAAACTTCGAGAGGAGGCCCCATAGCAGGGTCCTTGTGACAAGGATCTCTATGAGATGAGGGCCCTAAGGCCTTAAGTTTCTCAACTTCCACAATAAGTTGCTGTCCGAGGAGCCATGGTTGTTCCTAATCTCGTGCAGGAAGGGACCAGGGTCTGCACTCTGTTTCGCCAGCGATGGCTGCGGCAAGCGTCCCAGCCCGGTATCCAAGCGGAGACAGGTGGTAAAGAAACCACGAAGCCCTTCTAAACCCTAAGCCCTAAACCCTAAACCCCCCCCCCCCCCCAGAACAAGAAGTTCAGAAACAAACAAATCGAAAACTCCAAGAGCTCTAAATGCCCCAAACCCCGAAGTCTGTTGACGCGAACTTAGAAATCCCAAACCCTCAAACCATGGCCCCCTGGCTGACTGGTCGTATCCCCCACTTGGAGGTTCATGGCTAGTTATAAGTCGGGTTACAAGTAGGGTAACTATATTAGGGGACTTATAACCCTACTTCTAGCTACCCATGAACCTCCAAGCACAGCCTCAACTTCAAGACTGAGGCCGCCGCAAGAGGGTTTAGGGTTTGGGGTTTAGGGCTTAGGGTATGAACCCTGCATTACCATCAGGACCCTAGACTATGGGAATTATGGTGTATTCCTTATTGTGGGTAATGCAGGATTCATATCATCAATCGTTACCTCTACTATAAGGGTTACTCAGTCGCTGAAAGAGCTAGTACAAGGGCTGCCATAAGGGCTGCTACAAGATCTACGAGAAAGGCTACCGTGACGGTTGCTATACAGGTTACTATAAGGGCTAGGGTCAAGCGTCTTGATTTCAGAGTTCATGCTTCCCGAAGCCCCAATCAAGGCCTTTGCCAGTTGCTCGCCTCAGAACAAATCATGGCTAGATTATTACGAGCTACTCAGGCGGCGGCATATTGCCTGTATGGCAACCTTCAAAACGCACTAAGACCCTCTGGCAGTACACTGAGCCTCTTTTCCATCCCTGCCAAAAGCAATCGACCCAGCATTGCAACCTGGACCCCGACTTGACGATCAGTGCACCTCGTAAGGATTCTTTGAAGTTTCTACAGGGCTGCCGGCGTGTAGGGTAAGGGTTCCAGTCCAATTAAACAATCTACGGTTGAGCATCACCTAAAGAAGGAGTCCAGCTTTAGTCAGCCATCGTAGTGATGCATGTCAACAGAATATGCTGTCCGTAGTCTAGTTGCTTCGACATCTTAAAGTCCTTAGGAAGCACCAGCTCCCCGACGCCTGCTTGAAAGCATCGGACCCTTTGCTTGAGAACATCATCCGCACCAAAAACCTGAGAGTTCAGGCCGTAGAGTGCTGGGGCTGAGCTTTACAGTAGAAGCCAGAAAGCTGGAACATGGATTTAGGAGGATTAGTGCTAGGACCCCTACTACTTTACCCCAAGGGCATGAGGATAATGATGTTCCAACTTTCTGGCTTCTACTATATGGTTTGATACTGCTATTGGACAAAATCCTGCATGACCCTGAGGACTCTCAACTATGGGAACTATGGGATACTCCTTATACTGGGTCATGCAGGATTTTGTCCATCAACAGTATCGGGGCCTTGACGGTTAGAACACGGCATCGGGTGTACACGCAGTTCAATCGTACATTCTGATTTCTGTCGCGTTTGGGCTGGAGATTTTGAGCTTAGGCCTGCGGGCTTGGTGTCTAGAGAACTATGGTATATTCCTTACGATGGTTTTGAATTGCTTCCTTACGATGGTTTTGAATTGCGTTGAGGTACGAGAACCGATAACGGGTAGTGCAGGATCTTGTCCATCAACTGCACGACGGATTGGAGCCTTCGAAATGACATGAACTTCGGTCTCTGCACCCATGAGCACTGCTAGTTGATGTTGGTGATACTGTAGGCACTAGCCTTCCTAACCGTCATGGTATTCATATGAAGCTGTTCGTACGAAGCATACCTATGGTGGCGCTACTACCCTGAGTCTCAGTTCTGCCCTGGCTCCCCACACCCGGATCATCGGGCCGATACGAGAATCTACCTCAAAGCCCGCCAAGCCCTCTTCGAATTCTTGAGGCTTCTATGATCCTGTTGATGGACAAAATCCTGCATTACCCATAAATTATGACGAATATACCATAGTTCCCATAGTTTAGAGTCCTTAGGGTCATACAGGATGCTTTGGGGACTTTAGGATTTATGGTCCAGTGTTGAAACTTTGGGGCTTGAGGGCTTTAGGGTTGAGTGGGTTTTAGGAAACCCGAAACCCCGGAACCCTAAACTCTAAACCCGTAGTCGCAGCCAGGACGAGCCACTTCTGTCTCTGGATGTGTCGGTCACACGTCCGAGCCTGAGCAAATCAGGCTTCGGGTCTCTTCAGCGCGCCGCTGGACCCCAGACTCCCAAAAAAAACACGTGCCCAAATAGTTACCAAAACTATTTTGGGGGCCCCTTGCTATAGTTAGAGTACAACATACCCGCAAACCCTATCCTGAGGATTAAGACCCCCAAGCTTGTCGAATACCAAACCCCCCAAAAGGCCTCCTGAACTACTGGTCCTTCAAGAGTTCCATGTTGGGTAACCCTTTAAAGGGTCTGCGACAAGCTCAAAGACTTGTTTAAAGCTTGGGGTGTTTGGGCGTTTAGGGATCCCCTCTGCAAACTGACCGTAAAGGAATCTCACTCTTGACCACCCTGAGTCCCGAGCAAAAAACATGGGTGAGTTGGGCCGTTGAGGGTCTGGGATCTTAGGAATGAAACTTTGGGATTTAGGATCAGTGTGCCTGGGCTATAGATTTTTAAATTTTTGTAAATGGTCGTATTATTCAGGTTTTTTTAAACAATCCACAATTGAAAACCCGGGAGCTTCGGCCGCTCCTTCCCCTTGCCGCCGAGTAGCGCCTGCTCTGCAGGAGCTTAACTGGTGACGCACACAACGTCTGCGTGCGCCAGCTCTTGTTTAAACCTAAATGGCTGCAGTGACCATGCGCAGGTGATCTCGTGCTGAAACCTGTAGCTACAAGGCTGTCTGTTTTCAGAAGACTCAGACGAGCAGATTTATCATAATGTGGATCCCCTCCTTCCTCTTTGCTGCTAGAAGAACCGCAAAGCCAAGCTCTCTCATATTCATGGGCGTTTGTCGGCGAGATGTCTAGCTGAATCCTGCACCCACCTGCTGGCGTTCGATGTCTCGCCACCCTCCACAATGAGCACCTACCAATACCAGCACCCGGCGCTTTCCCATTGCTTCGGATTGCGCGCCCGCCGAAATGGAGAGACACATTCAGACGAGCTGACGAGTGTGTGCTGGATGCTCCAAACTCACAGCGCTCCCTATTGAATCTCCCCTAAACCCTAAACCCATCTTTTGAGGTATCCAGCTGTCGGTGACGTGGTTTCACGCACATCCGACTAGGAGCCTCAATTATGGCGCATGCCGCAGCAACTGCCCATCTCGTAGATTGATCGTGGCGAACTGTCTAGAGGCCAAGGAAACCGTGAACACCAAACCCCCAATGTCAAGTAAACCCCAAGTCCCTAAGCCCCAAACCCTGAACCCCAAGGCTCCAAACCCTAAACCCTTAACCCTTAAGTCCCTAAACCCCAAGCCCCTAAACCCTCCCTATGGTGCTGGACGCTCTCCCGATGTGAAGAGTCGCGAGCCGGAAACCGCAGTGCTCGAACTGAACCCTTCTTTTTTTTGTTCTCTGGTGGCCTGATCCTGAGCGGGTGGACCCCGTCTCAGCTAGGTACTAAAGGGGAGGCTCAAAGCCAAGCCCTTGCTTTCACTCGGCTGACGAAGCAGCCGGTGCTGTACTTTGGAGAGAAGCCTCGAGCAGGTTTCCTGCTCGGGAAGAAAAACGGACCAGGGTCTCCTCCTTCTTCTGCGCCGCTCGAAACTCGGTCGCCCACCTTGGCCGAGCAGCACCTCTCCACCGAAGTGCACAGTGCTGCTTGGCCGCGGTGGGCAACCCTGAAGGATGCCCACAGCAGCAGCCCGCCACCTACAATTAGTGCAACCGTCAGCAGTGAACAGTCGCAGTTGCCGGGCATAGAAAGCACCAACAAGTGTGATCAACTGCTTCGGCGCTCCAAGCTTGCAGAGGGTGGCACACACGATCTCAGTCGACAAAGAATCGAAGAAAGCATGAAGGTCCTGCTGCACAAAGCTGGTTGTGCCATCGACCCAAGTGTCAAAGATTCTTTTGTGAAAGTCGACAGCCGACTTGCCCGGTGCACCGGCAACGGCTCGGTGGCTGAGCCACCCCATCACCCAGGGGCGCAAGCGTTGCACAATGGCCCGGGCCCCGGCGCGCCAAGCGACCGATAGCAAGGCGATCGGCCTCGTTTCGTTGGCAGTTTTGTCCAACAGGACACTGGTGGATCGTTGCCACCGGGGAGGAACGATCCCATGCTGGATGATGGCTCGCCACAGGCTGGCATACAGGTGCCACCACGAGTGAGGCAATTGCAACAACACCGAGGCCTCCCACCCGTCCGGGCCGGGGGCCTTCTTCTTCATCTTTTGCATGGCCTTTTGAAGCTCAGCTGCCGATGGAGCTATGTCAATGTCGCTTCCTTCCCATGGGCCCAAGCCCTGGAGGATTTCGCGAAACGTTGAAAGATCGGAAGGTTGAGCAGGACGGGTCCACCGGTATGTCCAGTGCCTGCCCTGGTTTTCGATTTTTGCTGCAGGGTGCACGTCGCCTGAAGTCGCGTGGCTTTATCGGCACGGCGTTTCACCCAATTGATGGCATTGTCGACTGAACCTCTGATCTTTGCCTGCCACTGCTCAAAGCGGACCTGGCACTCCTGCTGTCGGTAATTTGGCGCCAGTGTGCCGACCCGGCCTCGTGTTGAAAATGATCCCGCATTCGGGACTTGATCCAATTCATGAGGCGGCACCTGGTGATAGGGCGGGCTGAGGACCTTTGACCTGGCGGGCTAGTGCACGGCTTCTTTGCATACAGCGGCGTGGGCCAAACAAAAGGAACACAATGGTCAGGCAGTTTGGCCTGAGCCCGAGCAATGCCGGCTTTGGTCATTTGCCGGATGCGGCGGCTGGCACACAACAGGGGCTGCTTGCCAAGCTTGCGACTTTGTGCTTTGAGAATGGCTTTCCAACGATCCGGGCTGATGCGAGGGTGCTTTAAGCCGCGGTGGTCCAGCTTTAGGTGCCAAGTGACACTGCGCGACATAATGGCGGCCTCCTCGTGGGTGATGCCAGTCGGGCACAGTGGGCACTGCCAGGCAACATCAGGCGGCGGCACACGGCGACCAAAAGGTCGAACACCAATGGGCGGAGCGATGTCAGTGGCCCCAAGCTCCTCGGCATCCTGATCCGTCCCCCGACGCTGGCATCAGCAGTGGAGGCAGAAAACGGACGCTTGCTCGCAGTAGCGCTGGCCACCGAATGCTGAGTGTTGGCGCCCCGCTTCCTCGATTGGGGCTTGGAGCCTGAGACAGAAGGCTCAGTGTGCAAGTCAGCCGCTCGGGTGCCACAGCCAACCGATGAAGCCGAGTCGGTAGCCAGCTCTGAGATGCCACCCACCAAGAAACCCCCTGAAGGGTCGGCGTCAACTGCAAGCAGATCCTTGGGGTAGGCGTCCTCAGTCGGAGCAAGGTAGTCGAAGTGGTTCGTGGTGTAGAAGAAGCAGTGGGTAGAAGCAGCCCATTTTTTCCCGTACGCAACCACAGGGAAGTTTGCATCTTCCGGGACCAGAACGACCTTAGTCTTGGTGAGCTTGCATAGCGCTCGCAACTCGATGTCGCCCGAAAAGGCGCCTGGCCTTTGCAATAGCCTGAACAAAAGCCTCCCAATTGGCAAAGCTTGCCGTCGGGCCCTTTGGATCCATCATCCTTCCAAGCTTCCTCGTACCACTCAGGGTGGCTCTGGATGTGAGTCGCAACTCGGGCTCGGAGCTCCAAATGATGGAAGGTAGCCTCCTTCCGCCCTTTATTGAGAGCTGTCGCCATACTGCGATACATGCAGTTCCCATCCTTTTCCTGGGCCTCGAGAGTGGTGCCCTTTGGCGGCTGACGCTGGCGGGCTTTCTGTCGCTTCGGAGCAGAGGCCTCCTTGGGCGCATCAGCAGAGCCGCCGCCCGTAGCAGTGGCCGTCCCATCCTGCGCAGTGCCATCCGGGATGGAGATGGTGACGGGAACCGGGTCCAAGGCACTGGTCTTCGCAATGAAGGGAACCGACGCACCATGGATGGTCCGTTGCTTTGTCGTGGCTTCCCGCGGTGGCGCAAGCTTGGCCCATGCAACAACCCCCGTCCTCAATCTCAATGGCAATCGGGAGGAGGTCGACTTCATTGCCCCTTGTGCATGCCCCGTCGTTGAAAATTGGCTATAAGATGTTGCGAGCCTGGTCCATATCAACTGCTCGGGGCACACCTTCGAAGATCCATATGCGCTGCACACGTGTTTTTGCATCCGCATGGTGTCGGCTGCCAAGCTGCTGGCCTCTGCACGCCAGACCAAGGGCCCCCGATGAGCGCATAGCCCGCGCAAGGTAGACGGTATTAGGCTCATCCTTGGCACGCTCAATCCGGTGGACTGGGTGCTCGCGAGGAGCTTGCACAAAGATTCCTCCAGCTCCAGAGTGTGCAAGTAATGACGTAGAGTCGACTTGGCAACCTTAATGACCCCAAAAAGCTGATGCTTGCCGCCCTGGGTGAGCTCTTCGGTCCATTTGAAAGTGTCGATCAACTGGACCCTTTGGGCTGCGGCCCACACTGCAATCTGGGCCCGGGGAGCTGCACAGTACTTTTTCCGGATCTCGGCGCCAACGAATTCCTGTGGCACCTTAACATAAAGGACCGTGGCATCCTTTGGGGTGACCTTCGTCGCAGAAGTTCGGCCCTTGGGGCGAGCAGCATCAAGGCCAGCACTCGTGAGCTGGTGGACAAAGGCATCAAGGAATCGCACAAAGTTTCCAGCCTTGACCGGGACCCTTTGCCTCGCTGGACCGGCGGTCTTTGGCGAACTCAATCAACAACACACTGTGCTGCTTTCCAGAAACCTGAAGAAGGTTCTTGGCGGTCTCGATCTGAGAAGGGAGGCACTGCACTACCGCTCGGAACACAGGCTCCTTGTTCTCCTTGAACTTCACAGCAAGCTGCTGGCACTTTATGATGGTAGCCTCCCAGTCCTGCTGCCTCAATTCGACTTCTTGGGTGCTCTCCCGGCGGGGCCCAACAACAGTCCACTCTGACTCCGCGGCGGCTGGAGGCTTCGGGCCTTTGGGTCCTTTCCCCTTGCCTTTTGCAGTATCTTGCCCCTGTGCCTTGCCTTTGCCCTTTCCTTTTCCCGGCTCTTGGGCAGTGGCAGGAGCAGCGGCGGCCGATGGGCTTGATGCAGGAGCACCGGGTCCTCCAGTGCCACCGGCCCGAACCTTTCGCAATGCGGCCTTCTTCAGTTTTGCTTTTCGCTTTCGAAGGTTTCGCGGCGAGGGGCCAGTGCTAACGGGCATGCCCACTTGCGCAAGTGACTGCTGAATTGCCTGCTGCACAAGTTGCACTATCATACCCTCTAGGGACTCAACCAACCCGGGGCCTAACCCGCCTAGAGCCTCAATGCCCGGGGTAGCGGCAGGTCCTGGGTGACTTGCTTCTCCGAATCGCACGCCGGCGGCAGGCCGGAAATTCCATCTTGCATTGGTGCCAGCAGCACACCAGTTGGCGAGGGCTCGTTGTACCCCTGCAGCACACGGAAAACAGGAGTCGGCAGGGCCCTTGTCCTTGACCTCAGTCGTAGCCCGCTCACCTCGGCATCCTTCAGGGTATGCGGCATCTGTGGCAGACTGATCGTCCCTCGGCTTGGCATACTGTATAATGCCTGACGGCGTGCATGGCGAGCTGGACGTCGGCAACTTGCTGGAAGGCGCCTCCGGCGCCTAGGCTGCCACCTTGCCGGGCGGATGTTCCAGGTCCATCGTCTCCCTCCTGCCCACTTGGCTTTGCGGGCCCTCCTTGCAGTCCCACGGCAGTGGGTCCCTTGCTCACAGCTGACATTCAATGCTTCGGCAGGCCCAGGGTTCACCTTCCCGGGCGCGGATGCAGCAACTAAGGAGGAGCCTGTCCGTGGCTCGTGGGTTTGGTCGTCATCATGCCCAGGCTCTTCGGCCTCGGCTGGGTCACTGTCGGCTTCGTCACAAAGGATCGGAGGCCTCACGCAGGTCATCGCTTCAGTATCTGATGGTGGCTTTGCCTCGGAACAGGTAGGAAGCACACCAGCCGGCTTTGCACAACCCATGCACTGCCGGGTTCATGTTGTTCTAGAACGCCCTCCATCGGGACCAGCTACAAGCTGGGCTCCCAATGTCCTTTCCACAACATGCATCTTCCCACACGCACCTGCCAGGACATGCTCAATAACCTGCATAAGGTCCGGCCATCGATCCGTAAAGATATGTGACAAAGCTCGACCATTCTCGTATCCAGTATCCTAGGAAGGTTAACATTTGGGATGATTTAGGGATGAAAATACCCCAGTACGATGACGATGCACGATGACGGTAGTGATGACCCCAACAGGGTAAAGGTCACCTACTTTCCTACTTAGTGAACCTTTCGTATGCACTAAAGCCAGAGAGAGGGTGTTGGAAGGTCGGGCCTTCGTGGTTTCAGGATTTAAGGGGATAGGATAAGGCTTTCGGCGGCTTTCGTGGTTTTGGGGTTCAGGAGTTTAGGGCTTCAGGGTGTCTAAGCAAATCGTACGAGGCAGGCAGTCGGCGGACAGCTGTGAAACGCAAAGCTCGGCCAAACTCTGGCCATGAAAGAAGTCTGCGGTTGATCTTGGGGGCCTTGATCGTAGGAATGACGAATGACCCTTTTGTGGGTTCTCATACTATCGCTGTGCATCTTGTAAGGACTAGGGTGCCCATACTATAGATAGTTACACTTTCACGACTTCTGAGGAATAAAATGCTGAAGCCTTTCACACGCTAGGATGCAAGAGCAGAAGTGTTCGTGTGTGTTCTTTTGATGCCCGAACCATTTCTCCACAAACTGCTGTCAAGGCCTGGGAACATGGAAGCCGGCTCACTGCAATGTTACATCACGGAAGCACCCAGCATCTGTGGGGACACACTCAAGGCACTACATGAGCTCATACTATATGAGAAAAGATACTGTTTTACAAATGATATATGCGTGTATGTGATATTATATACCCTGTAAATATGTGTGTATATATATAGATATAGATATAGATATAGATATAGATATAGATATAGATATAGATATAGAGGCTTTGCAGGAAGGCTGGTTTGGTTCGATTCCACCGGCTGTCTATTCCTGCACCGCCCAGTTAGCTGGGGAGGAGGCTGACAGAATCGAGGAGTGATCCTCAGCGCCTGAAGCCCCGAAAAGGGATCCCGGTAACACCCTCCTCGAACACATAAGTATATACCATAAGACGAACATGGAATACTTCAATACAACCTGATACAATGCAATGTAACTTAGTGTAGCATAACATAACACCGTATAAGATGATATACTTATACTTTTGTGTTAATATGATAACAGAATTCAAAACACCAGGCCCAAAGTGCGTTCTCGTGGGTCCAGGCGACAGCACCACCCAAATAAGTACAACTTACCTTGAACCCCTGTGCCCCGAAACCCGGAATCCTCAAACCCGCGAACCAGTAACTGATGCGAAAAAAACGCAAGGCCCACGAAAACATCCACCAAGAATAGCAGCTCGCCCTGTTTACCCTTGCTTCACCCTAAGCCCTGAACCCCTAAAACCCCTCAAACCCTTAATCCTATACCCCCGACTCGTAACCCCTTGTGACCCCTAAACCCCCAAAACCCGTAAAACCCCTAAAACCCTACACCCCGAAAGCTTCCGAGGCCTTAGATGCCGCCGACGGCGAAGGAGGCTGCGACTTTGGGATCTCCTCCAACATGCCAAAGACTGGGTTCTTCTTAGAGGATTTGGCGTTAAAAACATGCCAAAGACTTGGCTCTTGTTGAAGGATTTTGGGGTTTAGGGGTTTTGGGTTTAGGTACCATGATATGGGAACCACATAATTTAGTATAGATGTCTATTATGGCAACTTGAACTAAATCCCCATCGGGAGAAAACTGCGTTTTAGTAACAAGGTCGTTTATACTTAAGCAGCGCAATGTTATAAGGGCCTTAGACCGCTTCAGCAGGGTTCTATACGAGTTTGGGAGTATTTTGTCGGTGGTTCATGCGCCTTTCGAGGTCTCCGTAAATCTCCCATGGAGCCCGAAGATCAACCCATCGAAACTGCACATGAAGCCTCAAATGCCCGGAGAAAAAGCCTTCTAGAATCCTTGCAGAAGAGCCCTGTAAAACCCCAGTGTTGACCTCTATCAGAATCTTATTTATGAAGCCCTTGTGGAAACAACTGATAGAATGAAAGCCTAATAAAGTCCCGATAAAGCCCTTCCAGAAGCCCTGAACCTGACACCCGAAACTCTAAACATATCATTACTACTATTACTATTTCTGCAGTTGCGATCACTCTTCTTCTTCGCTAGGCCTTGATAGTCGTAATTTTAGTAACCCTCATATCATTTCCAGTAATAGCCCATATTATAGTATCTTAGGCCCCAAGCCCTAAACCATCCTAAATCCTAAACCCTAAAAACCCCTACAACCCCTTACTCTTCTGGGGCCCTTCCGCTCCTGCGAAGGACAGCGCGATTCCGCCGCCCGCACCTAGTTCATGGTTGGGGTAGGATGAAAAATCTACATATTTATTCCTCATTGGGTTTAAGTACCCATAAACCCTAAACCCTAAACCCTAAACCCTAAACCCTAAACCCATGCAAAAATGAAAAAAAGTAAAATGTTACCCAAGCATGACAAAGGCACCGGTCCCCCCGGAGTCGCCCCAGATTCCCAGGGCCTCCTCGGGTCCTCGCGAGGCTTTGGGCGCGTGAGGGGCTTTAGGGTTCAGAGATGTTTAGGGTTTAGGGTTTAGGGAGGATGGTTTAGGATGGTTTAGGTTTAGGGTTTAGAGTTCAGAGATGTTTAGGGTTTAGGATGGTTTAGGTTTAGGGTGGTTTAGGGTTTAGGGTTTAGAGATGTTTAGGGTTTGGGGTTTAGGGTTTAGGGAGGATGGTTTAGGGTTTAGGGTTTAGGGTGGTTTAGGGGTTAGGGTTTAGAGATGTTTAGGGTCTGGGGTTTAGGCTTCGGGTTTAGGCTTAGGGCTGCCGGCTTCTGGGTTTAGGTCTTGGGGTTTAGGGTATAGGCTTTAGGGTTGGGTTTTTTTGGGGTGTTTAGGGTTTAGAGTTAGGGTTTCCAGGCCCCCGCAAGTACCCTTTAACAGAGCCCTTATGCTCGTGAAAAGAGGGTAGAATAGTAGAAGCAAGTCCTTTCCGATGAAAACCTTCCTAGGTGTTCGAAGCGATATTGGCCGGCCGTAGGCCGTGGGCCGGAGAAATCCCACCACTTACCACGAGATGTCTGCGAACCGTAACAGCGTCAAGGGTGATACTTGCGCTAGTGCAGGGGCCTTAATAGTTAGAATGGGATTTTGGGGTCTATGACACCAGAATCTTAATAGTCATGATACAAAAAGTACAGTAATAATAGCAATACTAGTCATAATAATGGCAATAATAGTAATGATAAGGAGCCCCCCTTAAAATAGTATTGAGGCCCCACATGTTAGACTTACTGCTGCAAGCTGTAGCCGTCAATCGCCGCCTGTCCCTCGAACTGCGCGCTCCTGCGGCTGCAGGGTTGGGAGTTTGGGATTTAGGGTTTAGAGATGTTTACGGTTTAGGCTTTAGGGTTTAGGGGTTTAGGGTGTAGGGTTTTAAGTTTAAGGGCTTAGGGTTTGGGAGTTTTGGAAAGTCAGGGACCCCAACGCGGGCCCTACATAGTATAATAATGATTGTAAGGGCCCCCCCCCTTTAAAAAAAAATCAAAAACTGTATAAGGGACCCCCCAAGTTTCAACTGGCACCCGTTTCTTGGCGTTTGATTTTGGACTCGGGTCGCAAACAGCGAGATCATGTTTTGCGTCGGCCTGTAGGATCCCAGGGTCTTGTTTAGGGTGCCCATTCAGAGTTGAAGTTGTGTTTGCAAGATTTGTATAAGTCAAAATTGAAAGCTTGCATCAGGAATGGCATGGCCGATTGCATTCTTGATATCCGGTGCTAACTCCAAGACTCGAGAACTTTCGCTAGGAAGATCAGGCATCAACCCCAAATGCCAACAGCTTCGTGCGGAGGGTCATTGAACGCCTCAGAATGTTGAACCCCCACTCCCGTCTCTCAAATCCAGCAAGTGACACCGGCAGCAAACTACGGCTTTGAGCTTGCGTCCTCTCCCTCGATTTCCGTATCACCACCCACGGCTCCATCGTCCTGGCATTTGGCATGGAGTTGATGCAGGACCCTATGCCCTATGCCTGCATCCTACGTGTAGCCCTCACGCTTCCCGCACCTCGTTGTCGTCGAGGACGCCGAAGAGGGAGTCGTCGCCACTGCACGAAGACACGAGTGCCTAGCGCGCATGCACTGCTGAACTGCATGAGCCCTCCTTGCGGTAGCCAGTAAACAGAATCTCGACGCGATGGAGCTGTCTGAGTGCAAGTTCTGGACAGCTTGAGCTGCCATCTGGCGCAGAATGCAAAAACACGTTCCCTGGTTTCTCTGCAGGGATGCGGTTCTACATCCCCAGGCTCGGCCCGTCTCCAGGCCTCCCTCATGCCCGCTTGCGAGATGGATGCTGGAGTGTCGGAAGACCTGCACACGGCAGATTGCTCTGGGGCCTGGCTCTCTTTGGCGGCGGTCGGACAACTTGGGAGTTTCCGAAAATAGAGGGTACCTTATCTTGGGGTCCTTATAATCCCCTCCCCCTAATATTAAAGGGTCGGGGCCCCCCCCCCCTTCGCCCTAAATAAAAACTCGAAAATGTTTTTATAATTAGGGGGGTGTTGTTATCTCAATTCCTAGAAACACAGGTTCTACAAGTAATTAAATGATGAAAATGATGACGATGAAAATGATGATGACGATTACGGGGATGCTTGTTATGATGAAGATGGCGGTAGTGGTGGTGATGGTAATGATGACGATGATCATGGTCCAGGAGAAGAACATGATGATGATGAAGAACATGATGATGATGTTGTTGTTGATGATAGCAATGCTTCATGGTTGCACAAGTGCAGAAGAGCACATGTGGCAACCTGCAGGTTCAACCTCTGCAACCTGCTGGTTCAACCTCTGCAACCTGCTGCTTCAACCTCTGCAACCTGCTGCTTCAACCTCTGCAAACTGCTGGCTCAGCCTCTGCAACCTGCTGCTTCAACCTCTGCAACCTGCTGCTTCAACCTCTGCAACCTGCTGCTTCAACCTCTGCAACCTGCTGGTTCAACCTCTGCAACCTGCCCCACGAAAGCCGGATGTGCACCCAGTCCCCTCTAGAGAGTCCCCAGAGAGCCCAAAGCTTCAGGCCACCCCAAAATCTCGATTCCGGGTGGGGAAAGGGCCCAAACGACGCCCCTGGGGATTGAGCCCAGGACCTTTGCCAACAACTCTTTAGAACCGGACACTTACCCGTTAGGCCATGGCCAGATAGTTTTTGGCAAGGTTGCGCAACTCGCTAGTAGTTTTGGGAGAGGTCGCAGGCCCAATTCTTGCGGTGTCATTTCGGGCCGTTTCCCCATCCAGAATCGAAATGTTGAAATGACCAAAAGCGCCAAGATAGCACAACCACACCCGCCCAAAACCGCGCAAACCCACCAAACCTCTGCAACCTGCTGGTTCAACCTCTGCAACCTGCTGCTTCAACCTCTGCAACCTGCTGGTTCAACCTCTGCAACCTGCTGGTTCAACCTGTGCAACCTGCTGGTTCAACCTGTGCAACCTGCTGGTTCAACCTCTGCAACCTGCTGCTTCAACCTCCGCAACCTGCAGGTTCAACCTGCTGGTTCAACCTCTGCAAATTGCTGGTTCAACCTCTGCAACCTGCTGGTTAAACCTCTGCAACTTGCTGTGGATCAACCTCTGCAACCTGCTGGTTCAACCTGTGCAACCTGCTGGTTCAACCTGTGCAACCTGCTGCTTCAACCTCTGCAACCTGCAGCTTCAACCTCTGCAACCTGCAGGTTCAACCTCTGCAATCTGCTGCTTCAAGCTCTGCAACATGCAGGTTCAACCTGTGCAACCTGCTGGTTCAACCTGTGCAACCTGCTGGTTCAACCTCTGCAACCTGCTGCTTCATGCTGCTTCAACCTGTGCAACTTCAACCTCTGCAACCTGCTGCTTCAACCTCTGCAACCTGCAGTTTCAACCTCTGCAACCTGCAGCTTCAACCTCTGCAACCTGCTGGTTCAACCTCTGCAATCTGCTGCTTCAACCTCTGCAACCTGCAGGTTCAACCTGCTGGTTCAACCTCTGCAAATTGCTGGTTCAACCTCTGCAACCTGCTGGTTAAACCTCTGCAACTTGCTGTGGTTCAACCTCTGCAACCTGCTGGTTCAACCCTGCAACCTGCATGTTCAACCTCTGCAACCTGCTGCTTCAACCTCTGCAACCTGCAGGTTCAACCTCTGCAATCTGCAGGTTCAACCTGTGCAACCTGCTGCTTCAACCTCTGCCTCTGCAACCTGCTGGTTCAACCTCTGCAACCTGCTGGTTCAACCTGTGCAACCTGCTGTGGTTCAACCTCTGCAACCTGCTGCTTCGACCTCTGCAACCTGCTGCTTCAACCTCTGCAACCTGCTGGTTCAACCTGTGCAACCTGCTGGTTCAACCTGTGCAACCTGCTGCTTCAACCTCTGCAACCTGCTGCTTCAACCTCTGCAACCTGCTGGTTCAACCTCTGCAACCTGCTGGTTCAACCTCTGCAACCTGCCCCACGAAAGCCGGATGTGCACCCAGTCCGCTCTAGAGAGTCCCCGGACAGCCCAAAGCTTCAGGCCACCCCAAAATCTCGATTCCGGGTGGGGAAAGGGCCTAAATGACCCCCCCGGGGATTGAGCCCACGAATTTTGCCAAGAAGGCATTAGAGCCGGACACTTACCCATTAGGCCATTGCCAGATAGTTTTGCGAAAGGTTGCGCACCTTGATAGTAGTTTTGGGAGAGGTCGCAGGCCCAATTCTTGCGGTGTCATTTTGGGCCCTTTCCCCATCCAGAATCGAAATGTTGAAATGACCAAAAGCGCCAAGAGAGCACAACCACACCCGCCCAAACCCGCGCAAGCCCACCAAACCTCTGGAACATGCAGGTTCAACCTCTGCAACCTGCAGGTTCAACCTCTGCAACCTGCTGGTTCAACCTCTGCAACCTGCTGGTTCAACCTGCAACCTGCAACCTGCAACCTGCTGCTTCAACCTCTGCAACCTGCAGCTTCAACCTCTGCAACCTGCAGGTTCAACCTCTGCAACCTGCTGCTTCAACCTCTGCAACCTGCAGGTTCAACCTCTGCAACCTGCAGGTTCAACCTGTGCAACCTGCTGCTTCAACCTCTGCCTCTGCAACCTGCTGGTTCAACCTCTGCAACCTGCTGGTTCAACCTGTGCAACCTGCTGTGGTTCAACCTCTGCAACCTGCTGCTTCAACCTCTGCAACCTGCTGCTTCAACCTCTGCAACCTGCTGGTTCAACCTCTGCAACCTGCTGGCTCAACCTCTGCAACCTGCTGCTTCAACCTCTGCAACCTGCTGGTTCAACCTCTGCAACCTGCAGGTTCAACCTCTGCAACCTGCTGGTTCAACCTCTGCAACCTGCTGGTTCAACCTGTGCAACCTGCTGGTTCAACCTGTGCAACCTACTGCTTCAACCTCTGCAACCTGCTGCTTCAACCTCTGCAACCTGCTGGTTCAACCTCTGCCTCTGCAACCTGCTGGTTCAACCTCTGCAACCTGCTGGTTCAACCTCTGCAACCTGCTGTGGTTCAACCTCTGCAACCTGCTGCTTCAACCTCTGCAACCTGCTGCTTCAATCTCTGCAACCTGCTGGTTCAACCTCTGCAACCTGCTGGTTCAACCTCTCTGCAACCTGCTGGTTCAACCTCTGCAACCTGTTGCTTCAACCTCTGCAACCTGCAGCTTCGACCTCTGCAACCTGCTGCTTCAACCTCTGCAACCTACTGGTTCAACCTCTGCAACCTGCTGGTTCAACCTCTGCAACCTGCTGGTTCAACCTCTGCAACCTGCTGCTTCAACCTCTGCAACCTGCTGCTTCAACCTCTGCAACCTGCTGGTTCAACCTCTGCAACCTGCTGGTTCAACCTCTGCAACCTGCTGGTTCAACCTCTGCAACCTGCTGTTGATGTTGGGAACTTGCACCGGGGAGGGTTTTGGTGGGTTTGCGCGGTTTTCGGCGGGTTTGGTTGTGCTCTTGGCGGTTTTTGGTCATTTCAAATTTCGATTCTGGATGGGGAAAGGGCCCACGGGGACACCGCCAGAATTGGGCCTGCGACCGTGCCCAAATCCCCTAGGGAGGCAGCCGCCAGCCCCTGGAACTATCTGGTCATGGCCTAATGGGTAAACGTCTGCCTCCAAAGCCCTCCTCACAAAGGCCGCGGGCTCAATCCCTGGGGGCGTCATTTGGGCCCTTTCCCCACCCGGAATCGAGATTTTGGGGTGACCTGAAGCTCTGGGCTCTCTGGAGACTTAAGAAACGCTATTATAAGGGTTGCAAATCACACCAAATCCGTGCAAATGCACACCAAGTTCGTGCTAATACACACGAAATGCGTGCAAATACACACCAAATCCATGCAAATACACACTGAATCCGTGCAAATACACGCCGAATCCATGCAAACACACACTAAATCCGTGTAAAGACACACACACTAAATCCCTCTAACTACACACCAGGCACACAGTAAATGCGTGCAAATACACACGGAATCTGTGCAAATACACACACTACATCCCTGTAATTAGACACCAAATACTGCGTGCAAATACTCACGATCCGTGCAAATCCATGCAAATACACACTAAATTCGTGCAACTACACAGGAAGTGAGTGCAAATACACACCAAATCCGTGCAAATACACACGGAATCCGTGCAAATACATCTAAATCCGTGAATCCGTGCAAATACATACTAAATCCGTGCAAATACACACTGAATCCGTGCAAATACACACTAAATCCGTGCAAACACACAAATCCGTGCAAATACACACTAAATCCGTAAATACGCATTAAAAAAATAGGCTTCAATAAAGGCTTGGCTAATAAAGCTTTTCATGCGGCTCAATTGAGCAGTTGCTGACTCATGCAATTATAATTCTTCCCCCTAAACCCTCAATCTATAGACCCTAAACCTTCCCCTTAATTCAAATTAGGGTTTAAAGGGCGGTGCTACTTCCGGGTGGATCGGGGGAAAAGTGTTTTTATAATTAGGGGGTCCTTTAATAAACGGGGGAGGGGATTAATAAGGATCCTTATACTAGGGTCCCCTTTTTTCGCAAACCCCCGCTTGGGGGACAGGCTTTGCCGTTGGAGACTCGCTAGTTGTGGTGCTTTTCCGGCATGGATGCATCCCCCAGAAACCAAACCCCATTGCCTGTCTTTGGGTTCCCAGCGTTGTATCCACGTCCGCACCAGCTCTGCTGCCGGCGGTGTTGCCGTCTGCCAGGGTAAGAGAATAGGTCGGCAATAGTGATAATAGTCAGAATACTAACAACGTGAAGAATAAAATCTGTCATGATGCTAGTAGTAATCACTTCCCCTAGCTTTAAATTAGAACCCGGAAATCAAATGGGATTAATAATGACAACAAAAAATTATCAACAGGTGTGAGTCCAGTGCTGGAGCCCCTATCTGCAGCACAAGAGCAACCGAAAGAACAAGCCTGCGAATGACTCAGAACGAGCGAGCGGAAGACACAAAACCACATAAAACCAGGGCACAAGCAGCTGAACATGTAGTTGCTTGTCTGTCAAGCGTCCTGAAACCCTACGTCCCGCAAATCCGCTTCTCCTCCTGGAAAGCTCTGCCTTGGACACGGCGGCCGCTGCTGCGGGCTCCATGTCGCGCCGGCGTGGGGGACCTCTCAGCGGCCCCAGGAGTTCCATATCTTAGGGTTTAGATGGGAGTTTCCGAAAATAGGGGACCCTATTATAGTACCCTAAATAGTAGGATCCATAATATAAGGACCTCAAAATAAGGTGCCCCTAATTTTCGGAAACTCCCAAATTGCAGCGTCCACAAATCCACGGCAGTACCAAAACAGTGTTGACGGAAACTCGTAGACAGAAGGCAGGTCCTGGCGGTGTCAGGCCCAGGGAGTAGAGTATGTAGGGCTGCGACCCTTGAAAACTCTCTCGCTCATAAAGCTGAAAGACTCAAGCTTCAACTCCCGCTGCACGAAGATCCACAACCCAACTTTTCGCAACCATGCGCAGCCCACAAGCTCTCAAACACAAGAATCCGAAACCCACAAACCCACAACTAGAACCCACCAACCTTCGAACAGCGGCCCCCCCTTCAAAACGCACCGCCCCCCAAACCCCCTCCTCCCTACCCTCAACCTAAACCCCTCCCCCAGCCTGTGCAGTGTGCCTGCAAGTCCCGTGGACCCAAGACCCCGTCACCGTCTACATCCAGGAAAGCGAAGGCCAAGCGGAGCGCATCCGGCCAGGCCTCTGAAAGTCTCAAGGATGCTCTGTGTTTGATGCATTTTTGGTTAGGGTTAGGGGTTTAGGGTTTAATTAGAAAGTGTTCTTAATAGGCGGTTAGAGGTTCTGTTTCGATGGCTGTGGCAGAAATTGTGCAGGAGGTTGGTCTATGTGGTTGCTACAGGGTTTCATGCGGGGTGTCCTGCGCTTACAAAGGTTCCATGGGTTTTTGCTTGTGGGGCTTTGACGGTTTCATACTGGTTCTCTGGGTTGCCCAGAGACCCCAATGCTTACCAATTGTCCGTAATTGAAGAATGTGCTTTGCTGCTTCTTGTGAAGCATCTGAGCACAGTTATTGTACGCTGCAGAACAAAATGGTGTGGAGCTTAGGGCTTTTGGGGTTTAGGGTGTTGAGGGAGTGATGAGTGTAAAGAGGCTTTCTGGGCTTACGACCTTTTGGGCTGATAGGTGGCTTAATTGGAGTGTTTCGGGAGCTTGCACAGCCCTTACATCGCATATTCCCAGGCGCCATCGCATCATCATGTAAGGGCGAGGCGCGAGCTCATCAGCACAGTTTTTAGCAGAACTATATTGCAAGAATAATCAAAACCATAATCGTCATACACATGACCACAATACTAAAACTAAAGGCACCATTCATTAACATGATTCCTTGGACGGGCTTTTAAAGCCTTTGAAAAATATTAGTAGGTAAGATCCTCTTAAGCCCAATAAGAGCACATATAAAATGTCCCAAAGGCCTACCTAGATAGTAAAAGTAAAAGGCATGATTCATAAACGGGGGTTTCCGAAAATGGGGGATCCCAATGTAGTACCCTAAATAGTAGGATCCTTATTATAAGGACCCCTAAGTAAGGCCCTAATTTCGGAAACTCCCCAACATGATTTTGAAGCCTCAAGAGATGCTCGGGGCGCCGAAACCCCAAGAAAGTCTCCTTCCTCCCATGCATCCGAGGAGCCCCTCGCTCCTCTTCAGAGGCTCTGTGTGTTGGGGTATAGGGTTTGGGGTTTAGGGTTGGGAAACTTCCAACTGCATGGAGTGCTCAGACATCTGCCAAGGCTTCGTGAAGTTGAAAAGGCTGGGATGCGAAGGATGAAGCTGAAATGCATCTGTGCAACGTGGCTGCCCTGACTATGCGGCCAATGATCTCCGGCTTCAGCACAACATTCGCACGTGGATTTTAGGGCTGAGGTTTTTGGGGGTATAGGGTTTAGGGTCTATAAGGCTCTGGGTTATCTTTGATACAGTCTGCCAAGTTGGAGTACTGCACCAGAGGCTTCCGACGTCTGCGGAGAACTCGTCCTGAAGCCACTGGAAGACAGGAGCTGTACCCAGCTCCCGCGCCAGCTGCCACAGGTAGCCAGCCTCCATGTGGCCCAAAGTACCAAAAAAGACTTACGGTCCCTGTTGGTGGGCTTCGTAAGCCCTGCGGGTAAGAATGCAGGGCCTAAAACATTCGGTGGGAAGGGGAGTGCTTCACATTATCGATTGAGCAGGGAACCCACAGGAATGATAGTGATGCTCATTCAAGCTTCGAGAAAGATCGTGTGAAACTGTATCAAAACAAAACCGTGTAAAGGCATCAAACCCAATTTAGCTTTCTCTCTTACCTTACAAAAATGATGCAGTAGACGATTAACAGGATCGTGATGCTGATGATGACGATCGCCTCGCGAGGTTCGCTGGACCGGCGCTGCCGCTCGTGCTCCATGCCCTCCATGGCGCCTCATGTAGCTTTCAACGGCATTTCATAGGGCTCCATAGACTGTCGGCTGCACGAGAACATCACAAGCATATGTTATGTCATCATATTACCGACAGTGGTAAGAATGGCCGCGCTCCGTGAGGAGTGAGAGTAGTATTAGTAGTAGTCGGACAGTCGGAGTAGGAGTAGGAGGAGTAGGAGTAGGAGGAGAGGAGGAGTAGGAGCAGTATATAATAGCAGCAGGAGCAGCAGCGCGAGCATAGAACCCGAACCATCTGTAAACCCCTAAACCTTGGGTACCGCCCCCATACAGTAGCAGTCCATAATAGGGCTACCACTAAGAGCCTCTCCATCATTCTATCTATTATTCAAACTGTTTACTGAGTGGGGGCTATAAGAGGGCTACTATAGAGAAACCCTAAATTATGGGGGCCGGGCTACCATAAAGTAAGAGACTTATACTTCATATTATAGAAACTGAGTGGGGCCCGGAACCAAACCACAGAACGCCCGCGCCTTGCACCACGGAGCGATCCAACTCCGGCTCCGACAGCGCCCGCGCCATCGCCAGCCAGGCAAGGCGCCTCAGTCCCAAGGGTTCAAAATGGGGTCCCCATCTAACCTAACTTTCTCTCATTTTTTAGACATAGATATAGATATAGATGTAGATAATATAGACAAAGATATACAGACACAGAGAGATATAAAGATCTGCAGATACAGAGATCTAGATCGATAGACGTATAGGGATATAGACAGATAGATACGTATGTTATGTGGATAGATAGGATCTCCAAACGGGGGTCCTTCTAAAGAGTCTCTGATAAGAGGTCTTATGAGGGAGAGCTTGAGATTGTAGGGAGTTTGGGGTGTTGGGGAGTCTCGGTGTTGATTTTTCCATGTCTGGGGTCCTGTGAATGTCTGTAGCTACCCAGAGACTCCAATATCCCTTAATTAAGGACTTCACCTTAACTTATAGTAGGGATCCCTAATATACTTTAATGAGTATTCCTTAAATAGTTACAGTATAGTGAGCCTCAAAACCCTACTCTAAGTATTAAGGCCCCTAATTATGAAGGATATCGGAGTCTCTGAGTAAGGGATTTCTCAAAGCCCCGAAGCAATCTGATGCCACGCCACTGAAAGCCGTCGAGCCGGGCCCACCGGCGCTCCCGTCCAGCCTGCGACTCTGTAAGAAAACGGGGCCTTAATGATTAGCATAGGGTTCCCTTTAACGGGGTCTGTAAGGGTTACTATAGGGGCTACTATAAGGATTCAGAATACGGGCCTTAGTAATTCGAATAAGGTTTTGGGGCCAGTATACTCAGTATCCAAACTTCGATACATAGTAATAAGGAACCCTAAGGAATGATACTCGTAAGTATCTGCTGCGTACACTTGGTTGTTTTGAATAAGACTTCCGCCCTTGCGACAGCAAGAAGCTGGCTGCGTCTCTGAAACCGGAGCCCAAAGCCCCTTCTGCCGTACACGACTCTACCATACTATACCCAGCTGGCCTGTGGTTGCCATAAGGAGGATCATATTTAACCATGTGTTTCTACTCTGGCATCTTGCATACAACTCCTTGCAACCTTAAAACCCTAAAACTCTGTAAAAGCAGATAAAACTTAGGTACGGCCCCCATACAGTAAGAGTCTATAACAGGGATACGATTAGGGTCCTACTATATCTGTATTATGAATAATATTCAACTATTACTGAGTGGGGGCCGTACCCAAGACAAAACTGACAAACCGGGAAACGACCTCAAACGCGAAGCCCAAGAACGCGGCCCCCAAGCCCACGATCGGCCTTTGAATGCTCTGAATGCCGAATCCCTTAAAAGCAACTCATAGGACGAGCTGTAAACCTTGCACACACCATATACAAACCCAATACATACATGTGTATGTGTATATATGTATATATATATATACATGCATGAATACACATGTGTTCAAAAATGTATATTTGCAGGTATGTGTACATGCTTTCATGTGTGTGTGTGTCTATGTACATATAAAAACATATGTATATATATATATATACTGTGAAGCCCTAAAGAAGACCGCATTTAAAACGCTGAAAAAAGGACCTACCGACGACCCTTCAGATTCCGGGGTCCCGGCCCAGGGCGCCACGGAACCCCTGAAGAAGACGGAGGGCTCACTCTCCATGCCTGAATGGACGGATAGTATTGTGTTTCAACAAGGGAGTGATTCAGAAGGGCACCATATGGGTGGTTGTCAAACTTAGGGTCCCATTTTGGGTTCCCCTCTATATGAGGTGCCGTGTTATCATCGGTACCCAAAAAGGGACCCTAATTTTGACAAACACCCATATAACAAGGATTTGACAGATCCGACGCGAGCGCAGGGGTTTTGAAGTCTGGCAGTGTCTCTTTGACCACTCAAGAGCAAACCCGGCGCCACAGCTTGGGACTACCTCAAACCCTACTTGGAGGATCAGGGGACTTAGTAAGTAAGGTTAAAAGCCCCCTTATTGGGGTTATAAGTACTGATAAGTATAAGTATAGATACCTAAGAAAGCCGAGCGCCAGACATGACGAGATGGCCGTGGAATGGCCGCCGTAGCCTGAAAACGGTGGAAGAGGCTCGGGCAAGTGCCAGAAATTTGGGCCCGGGAACAAAGATCTACTTGGAGGGTCATGGGACTTAGTAAGTAAGGTTATAAGTACCTTTGATTGGGGTTATAAGTATAGTTACCCTAATTATAACCCTAGTTACTAAGTTAGTCCCATGATCCTTTAAGTAATGGCCAGTGGCAGCCAATTGCTCCATCCCTGAAGCCCGTGACAGGACGTTGGACGGAGCCCTTCGATGCCTGCCACCCGGCCCAGCACCGCTCTGCGCGTGATGAAGGCCGACTGCAACGCGTCCGTAGCAGAGAGCCTGTTGATCGGGACTCGACTCGTGATAAGTCTGCACTTACACTAGAAATATTGTAATATAGTAACAATAATATATTCACAGTATAGAATAACAAGGCCGGACAGCCGGGCTTGGAGGCTGCGCTTCCTCTTTCAGCCAACAACCTCTCTCGAAGAAGCGGAAAGGCCTCTGCGCAGGCTGCACGCGGAGGAGCTTGGTGATGAGGTCGCGGGCATCGGGGTGGAGCTGAAGCCATCTGCGGTGTCGGCCGAGGCTTGTTCTTTGAGCGCTCAGCTCACTACCAGAAGAGCTTAGGGATTAAGGCCTCGTGGTAAGGATTCTACGAATACCAGGTAAGGTCTTTTGTTTGGGCGGGCATGCGGAACTGGGATCTGAAGGCAATCGCCGGGTGCCTCTCCGTTCGCCGGTTGTAGTTTCCGAGCGCAACGAGTCGCAAGACTTCCTGGAAAAGGCAAGGCAAGGCAAATACAATACAGACAGAGCTTTATCTGGATTGTTTCTGTTGTTACATGCACACACACACATATGCACACATGCCACAAGCACGCTTTAGCAAAAACATATAACGTTATGTATGTACGTACACTCTACATAAACATATATATATATATATATGGCATGTTATATGTTATGTTATGTCTATGTACACACACACACGTGCGTACACTCTTACACCTACACCTAACCCTCCCAGGCCTGGTCTTGCAGCTCCTGCGAGGGCTGCTTCAGCGCCTGGTTGAAGGGGTTGTGACCCACAAGCAGCAAGTACAGCACCTGGGCTCAAGGGTTCAGGGCTCAGGGTTTAGGCTTTAGGGTTATGCAGGGTTGAGCGAGCACCTCGGCGCAAGGGTTCAGCGTTCAGGAAACAATTTCGGTTTCGGGTTGTGTGGGGTTTAGTGACGGTTCATAGGGGGGCTTAGGGTTTGGGGCCAGGGGATTGACCGCCGGAGACTCTTTATTGGTTGTTCACGTGTCAGGTCTCTCCAGGCAGCAGCACTCTGCAGGCTTTAGACCAAGAGTTTCTGGAAAGGCTTGCGGCAGAGGCGCCACGCCGGCGCTCCACATGTCGCTGAGGCCTGGCGACACTTCGGCCATCAAAAAAATACACTTCGTCAAAAGCAGCCCTGGCGTTTAGGGTTTAGGGTTCAGAGTTTAGGGCTTAGGGTTTGGGGTTTAAGGCCTAAGGAAAAGATCACCCTTGGAAAGTACCCGTACCCGCAAAGCTACAAATCCACGGGAGCTCCGCCCTCTCTCATCATTTTGGCCAGTTCAAGTAGAGGCCTAGACCCCAAAAATTGGCCTTGGAGATGGAGGGTCGAGGCAGTGAAAGAGGCCAGGTCCTGTTTGAGAGAAGCTATGACTATCAGGTACATGAACCCTTCAGGATGCAGGAAAACACTACAGCAAACACTCAAACACTAAACCCCGTACCCTAAAAGCCTAAATCCCAAACCCTAATAAACCCCAAACCCTAAACCCCTAACCCTAAACCCCTAACCCTAAACCCTAAACGACAAACCCCAGAGGCAACGAAAGGAAACCCGGAGGGCACGGCCTCTGATGGGCTCGCCGTTGTCGTCCAGAGCAGGCTGCTCCGGCTCGACGCCCTCATGCGGAGCTCAGCTGCTCTTGGGTTTAGGAGTTTCGGGGTTTAGGGGTTTAGGGTTTGGGGTTTAGGGTTTAGGGTTGAGGGTTTCGAGGGTTTGGGGTTTTAGGGTTTAGGGTTTCGAGGGTTTGGGGTTTTAGGGTTTAGGGTTTAGGCGTAAGGCGAATACAACTATACAGGGACTACAAGGGGTATGCCTCTATAGATGTGTCACGCAGAAGATGCTGCATACACGTATACTGGCAGTCGAACCCAAAAATTAATGCAACCTTGTGAGTCTTGGTGTATCTTAGACCGTAATGATAGTGTACATTAGGGACAGTAAATCATACTAGTCAGTTTACCTCGACCCGACGTCTTCTTACTATTCTTGTTGAATGTTGTCATTGCTACAATAACTTTCTAGCATTTCGATTGTTTCAATTATTGCGATTATTAATTACTGTAATTCCTGTTCGTTGTTGCTCCTATTGCTTCTGGTTGCTCCGAGCCTTACAGCAAGGAAGGAGATCCCACAGCCGCCTCGACGGGCGGGTTGAGCTCCGGTGGCGCGTACCACAGGGAGCCGGCGCCTGGAGGCGTCGGACTTTTCGGGCGCCTTACGGTTTCGGAGTCCATGTGTAGTACCCTTATACTTATAGTACCCTTATAACTGTACTAACCTTCTTACAGTCCCTTACCATAGTACCCTTATACTTATAGCACCCTTTTGAAGTATGGCACCTTTGCATATGAGTAGTAGAAGAACCTGCCTGGTTTTAGTTGGGCTTTATGCCCATGCAGGGACGATATGTGTCAGCGGCTCTGGATTGGACGAAGGACGAGACAACGCACCCAAGCAGGGGCCAGCGTGCTACCGTGCATCCGGCCGCTTCGGCTGTGGCCTTAACCCCTCTTCTGTGTGTTTGACTGCTTGCCAAAACCCGGAATGTTATGGACGATGATAACTTGAGATGCTAAATAAAACACACACACACACACACACACACACACTCACCACTAATCACGTTTCAAGCCCGACAGTCGAAAGCCCCGGCACCCAGCAATCCGGTCCTGTGGGCGGTGGCTTCGTGATTTTCCCCTCTCCCGGCGGCGGGGCGATGGCCGCCCAACCGAAGTCGCCGAGCTTGAGCTCTGCTTGGAAAGCCGCGACCTCGAAGGACACGTGCGGTGTGGGGCAGGGCTGAATTGAATTCAACTCCGAGCCGCAGTTCGAATGCAAACCTAGTGACATGTGCTTGCATATGGCACCTTGCAGCACCAAATCCGATTGAACAAGCCGTTAGACGGCGAAACTAGTTTCGGCAAGATCTCGTGCTGAAGAGCTGCGTGAGTTTGTGCCATGGGCTTGGTCGTTTTACACACCAGAAGGGTTCAGGGGGACTGCTATGGAATGAGATTGCGGTAACTTTGTAGACTTCCAGTTTTGTTCTGGGTGACGTTTTGCTGGAATAAGACGGCATTGAGACTGGTATGGAATGTTTGATTGCTACTAATGCTACTCTGCTACTACCTTGTATACTGTCTACGTGCATATTTGGGCGATCAGTGGCCCATTCAGACCACTTACAAGCGGTGTTCGGTGCCCTGGGTGCAGGGCGTGCACATCGTAGAGCATCATGTTCTCTGGCTTCACCTGGACGTACAAGCTCTCATGTGCATGTGCTACTGTTGATGATACAAATCCTGCATTACCCATGATAAGGAATATACCACGGTTCCCATAGTTTAGAGTCCTTAGGGTCCTGCAGGATTTTGTCCATCAACAGTACCAATGATAACGCGTTCTCGAATTCCTATGGCATCCTGACAGTGAAGAGCAGCGCAGGATGGAACACACCGGGGATTTCTGAATCGAGTGATGCTCGGAGTGGTGGCTCACGTTGCAGCGGTATTGGCGGATGGGAAGGGAAGATCTACTGTTGGAATCTGTAGCTCATTGCCCCTGGCTGCCTGTGCTTCTTCGTGGGTGTTGAGCTTCCCTGCCCCTTGCAGATCCCCTGTAAACGCACCACACCAGCTTCACATCTCAAGTCTCAAACCCTCGCAGACTCTGTACCCCAGAACTCCTACTTGACAGCTCATGGCTAACCTAAAACCCTGAGTCCCCTCACCTTCAAGTGCATGTGTTCGCCCCGCCCCACAACCAAGAGAGCCCCATAGCGTTCAACTCGGCAATATACCTTGAATGAGTTTAAAGATCCCTCTACTATGGCCAATGGTTTAAGGGGTCGTGAACGTTCTGTGAAACCGCTGCAAAGCCGGAATGAAGTTCTAGCCCCAAGAAAGCCGTACAAAACCTTCTGATATCCTTGAAAGGAACCCTGATGACACCTAAACCCCTAAAAAAGCCTCACAAGTCAAACTCGATAGAAGAAACACCTGTTGAAGCCTTGAAAACCCTATAACACAGTTGTACATTGGGTTTCTTCTTCAAAACCCATAAAGCCCTCTAACACACACAAGCAGGAAGACAGACAGACTGACTGACATTCTGACTTTGACGCTTTGCGTAGTCTGTGCTACAGTGATCATAGCCCTGCAATTGCGTGACTATGTCACAATACAGACAGACTGACAGACATGCATATATGTCACAAGGCTTACTTTCAAGAAAAAACAAAAGGACTTCGTTGGCAGGGCGCATCCTGGTGCTCCACCCCGCAGGACGCCAGGTGCGCCAGAGCTAAGAAGAGCCTTCGAAGGAAACTTGGAAGAGGGCGGCGCCAAAAGCGTTACCGTAAAGGGGCTGCTATAAACAGACTTAAACAAGGGCTTTGGGCTTCGAGCTTTGGGACCGCATCAGAAAACGGACAGGAACTGGAATCAGAACGCCTCGCCGACCCGGGCGAGGTTCGTCTCATGAGTAGACCCCCAAATCAGGGGCTGAAGAATTAGAATTGGGTTTTGGGTTATGTTCTACTATAAATTCAAGATCGAACCCCCACACAGTCTTGGTAATTACGTCGGTCCCTTCAGGAAGTCTCCGAAACTAGGGGACCCTGATATAATACCCTAGATAGTAGGATCCTGATTATAAGGACCCCCAAATGAGGTACCCCTTACTTTCCGAAACTCCCAGACATGAAGCTCAGAAGAATCCTGATGCCATTTCTTACCTTTGGTTAGTAGGGAATGGAGGAACGGGGTTCAATTCTAACGACTATTACTACCATATTAATTCTCACCATCTAACTACCATATAACTACGATATTACTACCATATATTACTACCATTCTTCCCTTCCCTACTGACCAAAGGTAAGCTTTGGGCTCCCGGCTGCCGGAGGAGGCGAGCCACCAAGCGCTCCGGGAGTCCGCCCTGCGCTCTGCTCTCGCGAAGTCTTCCGAAGCTTCGTTCGGTTTAGGATTGGGGTTGAGGGTTTAGGGTTTAGGGTTCAGGGGGGTTGGGGGGCTCTGGGGCATCAGGGTTTCATCGGTTTAGCATTTAGGACAGTTCTCAAGTTCTCGAGCTTGCGAACTTTTGGGGTCTTGTTCCAGCTTGGAGGTTCATGGGTAGTTATAAGTAGGGTTATAAGTAGGGCAACTATACTTATAACCCTGATTAGGGGACTTATAAGCCCCACTTATAACTACCCATGAACCTCCAAGAGGGCTTCGAATCGTTCTTCAGCCTCCGATGTTTCAGGGCCCTGACTCGAGCTTTCGAGGCATTCTTTGCACCGCTACTGGTCTCTCATTTTCCTTGGGCAGCCGTGTTGGGGTTTGGGTGTTTAAGGTTTTTTGTCGGTAGTAACTGGTGTTCAGGGTTTATAGGGTTTTTAAGGGTACTTTGCGCATAGGGTTTATAACATTGGCGGCCCTGTTTTGGTGCAGTGTCAGCCAGTGTAGAGCCTTTGTCCACTGCCTACCCAGAAAGCATGGCAATCCATCCCAAACCCCAACATTCCCCCGGGCCACAGCCGGGCCTTCGGATGTTCCCGCGCGTAGAGGTCGTAGAGCCTCGGAGAGCAGCCGCAGCCATGTACCCCGGAAAAGCAGTTTGAAACACCCTGAGCCTTGGAAGCCTTACACCTGGCGGGATTTTCCGCGAAGCGAACCTCGTCTCTTCAACACATACCTTCCCTATGTGCAGGAAACACTTTCACGGCGCAAGGCATCGGAGCTGGGGCGAGTGCGTCGAGCCGTCGCAGTATTCGAGGACCAGAACATCCTGTGATCCAAAGCCCTGGCAGAAAAGGCGGAATGAGGGCACCTAGATCTCTGGTGGCTTCCGCGATGCTCGGTTGCAGTTAGCCAGTTAACTTTGGACTCTTGGGAGCAGGCTCTTGTGCCACACCTGTTGGCCAGGCGCTAAACTTGGGAGAGTCCACAAAAAAATTGTCAACTCCTCATAAACGAAAAGCTTTTATCAAGCGCCTGTAAAACAAAGACTCTAAGAACCGAAGCAGAGATCAGGACCAGAGGGGTCTGGCCTGATAGCTCTCGAGCAGTCTCAGGACGTTCGGGTGCGTCCCAACCTCGGAGCTCCCCCGGATAGGGTTTTAGGGTCTTAGGATGCCTTAAGGGTTTTATGATTCAGGGTTTAGGGTTTTTTGGGGGAGTTTCGGGGTTAAGCGCTTAGGGGGTTTTGGTTGAGGGTTTAAGGTGACACCCCGGAATGGGCTCCCAAGCTGGAGACAACTCTGAGTTCGGAGCTCTTCGAAGGGCCGTGAGCTCCTTAAGGAACCTGAGAGCTCAGAACACAGGGCCTGAATACTTGTGTTCCCAGAGACTCCAGTATCCCTTAAGGAATATTCCTTAAATTATGGTAGGATCCCTTATATGATTTAAGGTATACTCCTTGATTAAGGGATATTGGAGTCTATGGGTTATAGGGTGCCATTTAAGGGCTCATTCGAAAATCTGTCTATGATAAAGGTTGCTTTAGCAACAAAAGAGAAATATCTACACTTATGCAGTAAGCCCCAGAAAAGTTGGAGGATCAAGGATGGTTGGGGCTGCAGCAGCCTGCTCTTTTGTACTTACAGCCCATAAGGATGATGATGTTCCCACCTTCTGGCTCTACTTTGATTACTTTTGATCTGCAAGGTGCTTAAGCCTGTTCAAGGTGTCTAGAGCCATACTTATGCCACTTCATGAGACCGCTCAACTTCAAAGAGCGTCTCGGGGCCAAACCTGCTTGCAAGCTACCTGAACTCCAAGCCCTGAAGCCCTGAAATCCCAGACACCCTCAGATCCATTAAACCCTGTCCCTATAAACCCTCAGCCCTAAACCCAAAGCCTTAAGCTCTGAACCCTGCAAAGCCTTAAGCTCTAAACCCCTAAGTATTCCCTAAGTCTACGACTTGAGGTGCCACTGACCGCCGGCACTCTGGGCCAAAGGGCGTGCGACCGCCGAGTCGGTGGAAAACTTTGATGGCCACCTGCTCCCAAGGGATTTGGGGGTTTCCGAAAATAGGGGACCCTTTAAGGGTTCCGTTAAAGGGCTACTATAAGGGTACTATAAGGGTTCCTTTAAAGGGCTCTATAAGGGTGTGGAGTTTCCGAAAATCGGGGACCCTAATACAGTACCCTAAATAGTAGGATCCTTATTATAAGGGCCCCCAAATAAGGTACCCTAATTTTCGGAAACTCCCATTTCGTGGCTTCGGTGTATCAGGGGAACTAATGTAAGGACCTGATTAAGGAACCTTGAGACATCTGACAGGTTCCTAATGTGTCGTGGATTCGGTGTTTTAGGGGCCATAGTGTAAGAACCTGATTAAGAAGCCCTGAGACAGCATTAGGACTCCTGATGAGGATCCTAACATACTGGGGCTGCAGGGGCCAGGCTTCTTAACCAAGTTCCGACATTATCATCTAGAATCGGGATCGTTTAAAGCAGTCTCAAAGGGCTTTAGGGTCATACTGTTGATGATATAAATCCTGCATTACCTTAAGGACGCTAAACTATGGGAATTATGGCACATTCCTTATTATGGGTAATGCAGGATTTATATCATCAACCGTAGGGCTTGGGGTTTTGGGTTAGGGGCTTCGGGCTCTGGGGTCTTAAGGTTTTGGGCTTTGGGGCTTTGGGGCTTTAGGGTGTAGGAGCTGGTATTGAGAGCTTCAAAAGGGCTGGTGAAACGGACTTTCCAGGGGCTATGACATAAGAACATGTACGGACTTGGGGCCCTGGCATACGAATGTGTACGGACTTTATCAACGGTTTGTAGGCGAAAAAACCCTGAAGCCCAGCTTGCCCTAAATGAAAGCCCCAACACCATT